GCTTGATTTTGCTCTGGGTTAGACTGTCTCTGAGACCTCAGCTGATACTTTCTTCTATCATTTCTATCTCCCTCTGACCTTTATTCACCGTCTTAGGATGTATCTCCCTTAGACTCATCATCCTCAGTTTCTGTCATTATTTCTTCTTGTTTGTCTTTAACTCTTCCGCTTTTATTCAGGCGTGTCTTTATTTTCCCTCTGTCACTTGCTTGTTCATTACATGTCACTGTAAATTTCCCATGCAGCTCGCCTTTTACTTTCTGTTTTTCTTTTTTCATCTGTTGGTCTCGCCACTGGGAATTGTCCTACTCCAGGCTTTCTGTTGGGAGAATATGGTGGTGGTCTGCCAGGCCATGGTGGGGCAGTCGGCTGCTGTTCTTGTTTTTTAATTTTTTCCTTTTCACTCCTCTCCTTCTGTTTTTTTCCATCTGTCATTTGTGTATGTGTCTTCATGAGTAGGTGTATATCTGTAACTTTCCTGTTTAAACCACTGCAGCACCTTTCTCTCTCTGGCTCACTTGCCTTCTCTCTTATTGCTTGTATCTTTTGCGTTATAATGTTTTATGTTGGCTTCCACTTCATTGCAGTAGGCTTCTCTGAAGGTGCCCTCTTTTAGCCACTGTAGTTTTCCTGAAGTGCGTTTATGCCATTTTTTCATACACAATTGGATCTGTTTTTCATGTTCTGGGTGTTGATTTATCACCAATTCCACTGGTGCTGACACACCTCCTTTAATCACTTTGGCTCCCATATATCCTTATCTTCCGCTGCTTGATAGTGTTCTGGGGATATTTGAATTTCTGTATTCGATTCATGTGACACACTTCGTCATTCGTATTTAAAGGTGCTATACAAATGAACTATTATTATTATTATCATTATTATTATTATTATTATTATTATTATTATCATATAGTATAACTTCCAGTCTCTATCTTGTCTTCTCCTTGGGCTTTAACAGTGTATTAGAATTGCTAGCCTTCAACTTCACTCCCCTGGGAATGACGGTGATATACAGCCGTGAACTTACTGCTACCCTGCTCTGCCTGCCAACTCCCTCTAGCACTCCTAGCGTTTGGACTTGAGAGATACTGTCTACTGCGCTGATTGCCTCACCGCTGCTCTTGCACTCACGTTAACAGTCACCACGGTCTACCACCTGCCTGTCACTCCCCCTGCACTCTGGGAAATTCCTTTTACATTTATGTTGGATCTAACAAGCTTCGTGATATGCCACAGATTTTGATTTATTTGCTGTTTGTTATGCCACTGCTCTAAGCCCTCTTCATCTCCGCTCCAACCAGAAATGCATTATATCTTTATTCTCTATATCTTTATATCTCTCCTACTTTTATTTTGTTCTAAAGTAAATTAACAGCATATCTTATTATTACTATCTCCCTCATTCGTCTTTATTAGTTTCCCCTTAGGATAAGAACAGTTTAGCAACAACCACAATTTAAATCACTTCTAAACACTGTTTTATTATTTACACAGTTACTAGTTTATCTATCCTTAGCAGTATTAACACTAATATACATTTTCTGGCCAGTGCATGCAATAACTCTCTTGCTTTCCCTTGGCGGTGCATGCGAGCTCTTAGTCTCTCTCAGACTTTTTAGCTGTCTACCCATTCGGCCTCCGTCTTCTCTGGAGTGTCGCAGCTCACAGCTGCGCCACTACAGAATGATCGGATATTACCCGCAGAGGCTACGCCAGCGTTACTCTTTCTCAGTCACTACACTACTTCTCATCAGTCGGGCTGCAGTCTTTTCTATTCTAAGAGGGCTGCAGTCTTTCCTTTTCTATGAACAAACCACACTATTCTCATATGTGCGTCTGCATGAGGCTGCTATTCACCCTGCTTCACGGCTTATCTCGTTCAGAGGCCTGTCGTGATCACCACATCAACCCCCCACGAAACACTAGACAGGTTGTAAACCAGCATACAATACACACATTCAGCAGCAGTTGGTCAAACTCATTCACTCTTTCCGCTCCATGATGAGACATAGCACATATATTACGTTGAAGACACACATAAAACACATTTGCATTCAACTCTGTTCACCAGTGACTTTAATCCATTCACTATTTTAGTAATGTTAGTTTTGGTGACTGTAATTCAATTCTAACACTTTTCCATGCTTTATTTCTCATTTATTTTTCAATAATTTTGACTAGGTTCTTTAGAGATGAGGCATTCTGATTTACCTCACCTGGGCAGAGACCTGCACTCAAACACAATCAGAATTTGCAGAAATTAAAAAGGCTCTGCTTACCTCTGAGTTTTTGTGGCCACTGATGGTCTGAGATGCATGCTGATCCTCCCAGGCTGGTTCTCAGGTTTCTGTCTCTCTTTGCTGGCTCGCCAATTTATGTGGGAGGAAAAAAGGTCCAGGTTTGGACCAGAGACTAGGTCTAGACCTCTTCACCAACAACTAACTTTCTACAAAACTGCACTTTTACTGGAGTCACAAAGATTTAAAAAAAAAAAGAAGTCACTGGAGATGATCAGAGTCCAATGCAATAGAATTTATTTTTCACAAGAATAAATGTGAGATCAGATCCAGATCCGAACTGAAGACAGAGGGCCTGTGCACAATCATATATAGTTATTTCTTAGGTGGGTTCTCCACCTATTTTCTAAAGTGAACCTATCACCGCCTTGGGAGCAATAATGTTCAGCCCTATGTGGAATTCCCCAAACTAGGCCTGCCAGGGCAGCGTAGTTGGACCAGGTGTCCGGAAGCCCCTCGTCCACCCTATCTAAGACTCCTGTGCCAAGGTGTGTAGTATGACCAAGTATCCAAGAGCCTCTCCACCAGCCTAAACCTAAGGCCCTCGTCTATCCTCAATCTGGGCCTTGCTACGGCTGCTACTCCAACTTTTTACTTTATTCCCTCCAGGTTCCATTCTGTAACAATCTTACTTCAGTAAAAGCTGGTTCACTTACAAATCTAACATCAGTTGTGAGTATAGCTATTCCATTGGATTATGTAAATTTAATATTCAGTATATTTATAATGCATAGTATATTTTTGTGAAAATTTACTACAACAATCTAATGAGGAAGAGCTCAGACCCAACATTTGGTGCCCCATCTGAGGCTAAGTACTGTTGGCAAATATTCATAGTTGTGCAATATTAAATTCATAATTTGGCCAATACCGCAAAGGTTATGGTCCACCACAGGAGTAAACGTCCAGGTGTACTTACAAACAAGTGCACTGTGGTGAGAATTGGTTTAATAAATTTAGCTGAAGCAATAGTAAACATCCTCCAGTTATTAATAGCTAACACAAGCTTTAGTAGCACAGTAAGAGTTTGCTATTGTTGCTAACAATTCCAGTTGATCTAAGAACCTCATTTCAGCATTTGAAGTATTCAATGCTATCTAGTCAAGCTGTCAGAATTGGCTGTTAATTCAAGTGCTCCTCCCTTTAATTTAGACACAGCGTGCCATTGGCCTTGTGTAATACAGAGAGCTTGTACCTGGCTGTTACTGCCAAGCATTTCAGCCTGAGTCAACTTGAAGAGATAATCCTGTAGCGTTAACGCCATATTTTAGAATTTACTCTCATTGAAATGGGGCACCAGTCCTCTGGGAGGACAAGAATGAATTACTTCATTGCCAAATTTATCAATCTCATATCGGAAGCCATGACCTTTCGATTCAATGGATTTCCAGTCTCTGCCTCACAAGAATATTTAACAGGACAACAACTGGGTGTAAATAAAGGAGTTTATTAACTAAACTACTATCTACAGAGTAAATGCAAGGTGTAATAATCATAAAGATGAAAATAATAAGTTTCAGAAATAAAATACAATATATAAAGTATAAAGTCAACAGAGTTATGACTTTTGACACTTGACAATTTCACTGTCACAGTGTTTTTTAGATCAATAACAAAACTAACATTATACATTTATGTAATTTTTTTGGCATTTTTGGCTTTTATTGTGATAGGGTCAACGAGCGAGAGACAGGAAAGTTAAGAAAGATACAGGGGATGACATGCAGCAAAGGGCTTGAGTTGGATGAACCCAGGCCACTGCAGTAAGGACTTAGCCTAAACGGTATGCGCTCTACTAAGTGAGCCACCGGGACGCCCCATTTATGTTCAATTTGTTGCATTGAATCAGAAGTATTTGGTGTGAGGGTTTTTTGTCTGTGTTTGTGTTATCTGACCTTGATCATCATAAAAATCATAAAATGAAAACAACAACAGTAACATGCTGTGCAGGGTTCAGGTTTAGCAGTTGAAATACATCATTTTTAGTGCAACAGTACAAACGAATCTCTCTGCACGTACCCCTGTATGTTGCTGCTAAGTATTATTGCATTTTAGCTTTGTACTGTTACTGTGATAGAAGCTTTAATCATGTCAGGAAGTGGGATACATCAGTGTTTGAGTGTAAAGGCAACTGAGGCTGTTGATCACAGTCATATTTGAGGATTTGACATTTGGCAGAAATGATATCACCAACAGATACTTTTGTTTATCATGACCAATGAATTCAAGGGCAAATTTCTTTAGTGAGGCTCTTCATTCCTCCTCAGTTTGTACCACCTGACTTCCCCATCACTTTAATATACTCTCTAAGCCTTTTTCTGTACTTTTTATTCTTTTGTGTAATCTGAAGCCATAGCAGCTGCATGAGCCGAACAGAAGTTCAGGCTTATCTATGCATGTTCACACATGAGCTGTGAATTTTGTGTTTATTGTGCATTTTTCTCTTGTACTGAGTCTCCTTCGTTGCATTTGTAAAATGTACTTTTACATCAAAGAAGATGCATTGTTTGATGAAACAATACAAAAGCAGTACTGTGATAGACTGGCGACCTGTTCAGGGTGTACCATGCCTCCTGCCTAGTGTCAGCTGGAAAGAATAAGCAATAAAGCTGATGGATGTGTGATAAAACACCAGTTGTCTCACTTGTATCACTTGTTTGTATATGTGGTTTTATGATTGGACATGTTACTCTCTTGCAGGACAATAGTGCCATGGAAAGTCTTCCGACAGTGCCTTCATGAACTGCATCCCATCAGCTCGGGCCTGGAGGCCATGGCCCTCAAATCGACCATCGACCTCACCTGCAATGACTACATTTCTGTGTTTGAGTTTGACATCTTCACACGCCTCTTCCAGGTTGGTCCAAATGAAACCAAGTTTCAAACCTGTGACTCAAATCATCACACATAGCACTTTATTTTTTGTTCAAGCTGGATTCATATAGAACAGGGTTTGACATTTACATTCACAATCTTTAGTTTGTTGTGTTTTTTTCACACGCATCTCCTTTGTGTGGAATTCTTATCAAAGAATGGCTTTTGGATCTGTTCTACTCTGGATTGCATTTTTAAGTCTTCCTTCGTGTGACATTAGCCAGACATCTGCTGTCAAATTACTCAAATTGTTATAATCCTGGCCTGATAATTCTGATGTAACTTGTAGGGTGGGTCAGGTCTTACTGTAATACTGCATCTCTAGTTGACTGTGGAAACTATATTTGGCTGTTTTTATGTAAATGTACAAAATGATTAAACCTTTGAAGGACTAGTTTGTGATCTGATCATGAAGAACAGAGAGAGTGAGAGTGTTTTACTTGCTTTCCAGGCAGGGTCTCACTCGGTAGTTAGTATTTTTTTTCCCATTTGGTTGCCTCCTGCCTCTTTGGGGTGGGCCACTGTGCAGTATACTGCTCAAATCCACAAACTCACAGAGTGATTAGGGTTTGCTTGGTTTCCCTTTCAGCCCAAGGGCCAGTAATTCCAGGGTTTTTTTTCTTCTGCTAAACCAGCTATTCAGTTAGTGCAACGGATCATTTTTCCTGATGAGCTGCAGCAGCAGGCTGTATTGAGGTGAATGTCGTGACACTTGGCACCAAATGGAACCAACTGGCAAACCCATTGATGCCTGCCAACACAATGGACCACAGCTTTATGCTCTTAGCTCAGAGATCTGTTTTCTAAACACTTTCTCTGTCAACACCAGTTTTCTTTTTTCAGGATATTTGTATTCAGGATATTCCTGGATTCAGAATTAACAAGCAAAAGGAAAAAAATTAGACCCACTTATTTCATTTCATACAAAGATGCAGATCCTAAATTGTTTTTTTTTCTTGTCTTTGTGCTGTGTAGTCAGATGTCAAGATCTTTTAGATCTGTATATAATGTTACACATAGATGTATTTTTGTAACACATCATTTATTAAACTTTCCTACTGAGCAGTCCAGTAAACAGATTCCACCCCTCACCAGTAATGTTAGCAAATTCTCTTCCACATCAAATGTTTTGGCGTCTATGTAACTCTGACCTGCAGAAAACCTCAAACCAGCTGTAAACAAAGCCAAACACAACTGGTTGGAGCACATAAGCTGCTTTTTTTTCAAATTCTGAGTCATTGAGCTGGCTACATATCAGAAAACATCTCTGCATTCTCTGTTATTCACTTTGTTGTTTTCTAGAGAATTCAGCCAAGTCACTATACCAGTTATCACTTTCTTGTGGCAGAAGCACTGACTCAGGATGATTTTATGCTGACAATATGAAAAATGAATGTATAATGCGTAATAATCTGTTCAGTTAAAACAACACTGGGTGGTCTTTTTTAGCCATGGGGATCAATTCTGAGGAACTGGAATTTCCTTGCAGTGACTCACCCTGGCTACATGGCCTTTCTTACCTATGATGAAGTCAAAGCCCGACTGCACAAGTACATCAACAAACCTGGCAGGTATGGTAATTTTGTGTGTATTTACCTAAAAACTTGGTATTGATTCAGAAAGTACAACAAAGCAGTTTCATCGAGTTCAACTAAACAAGAAATCAACTAGAAACTTTACTTACGCCGAACAATAATGGAGTATGCAGTATGCAGCTCTCATAATACGTCCATGGCATACTCCCACTCTGCTCTGTGCACCGTGGACATCCATGCATCCATTGCAACACGCCACATACACAATAATGGAGGAGGCAGCACAGTTCTTCTGTGATAATCTGAATACACCTTTAGTCCGTTCAATGTTCAACCCCTCACAGTAGTCAGGAAGTTACCCTCAACACTAATTAGCTTATTGACTCTCAGTCACACATCACAGTCTATACCCAGGTGAGATAAGTGTTCCCTGCATGGACCTATTTTTTCTGAGTGAAGAACCACTATTACATACTTGTTGAACCCTGTATCTGAACCAGGAAATAGTGATAATCAAATATAATTAAAGAAACAACAAGGGAGCAATAATCAGCAGTTATTGACACATCTGAGCTGATGGCAAACACCTGGTAGATATATAGACACATGATTTGACATTTGTGTCTAGATATATAGACACACACACACACACACACACTATCATATACAAACAACTTACATTGATAAATTCTGATTGGTGCTGTGAGAGAAATATCTGCTGAACCCAGACTGATCTAACCTCAGCACATAAAAATGTGTTTTTGTAGTGCTTCATCACTTATAATAAGAAGCTGATAGAGGAAATAGGTTTCCAGATCCTGTAAGTTCATATGAAGGCTGGACTATAATAACCTTCTGCTGCCTCTTTGACAAGCCAAGTATTCAGGATTTGTTCTTTCTCAAGTTATCTGAACCCCTCCCGACAGTCACCTGCAGCCAGGTCTGAAAGTCAACGAGCTGTTTCAGGATCCAATTTTCATGGATATAACCATTGATCTCCTCTGTCTGCTCATATGCTAATGAATATTTACAATGTTAATCACCATAGCAAACCGCCTTAGAGCTCAGGCTCAAAGGAAATGGATATCACAGAATAACGAATTTTTATGAATTTGCATTTGAGATTACATGAGCCATAAACAAGTCATGCTTTACTGTCACACCTCTGAGCCACAATCTGAACAACCTTCCCATAGCTCCTTATTACTGTTGAATATATTCAGAAGGCATCACATCTATGTTTCAAAACTTATGATAGAGGCAGGGTGTGAATTATCCCTAAACAAACAGCAAGAATCAGTGTCAGTGAAGGAAATCCATTAGCTGAAGCAAAAAAATTAAAAACTAGTCTGTCCTACCCCCAAAAAACAGCATATGCTATGTAAAAATGTAATGAATAACTTCAGAATATAGTGGAATAGAACAGACTACAAATCTTAATAATACATTTTTTTGATAGTATAAATGAAGTGCTCTTCGTATCAAGCACCTCACTGTCAGCTGGGACCGAGTCATTTCATCACTGCGTTCTCACAGAAAATAATAGACACCATTTGCTGCAAAAAGACAAGCTGTGTGAGCAGTTTGTGTGTGTGTAGCACTGGTTTCAGAAATAAACGCTGACAAACTGTGTTTGGTGTGGTGCCAATCTCAAAGGTTATTCCACGTGGCGAGTTCCTGATCAGGGGAAGAAGGTAGGCTTGGTAGGCCTTTAGCAACAGTTAGAATGACAAACCTCTCACTCACTTTGATACAGTCCTGCATTGCATTACGCACGCATGCACGCACGCACGCACACACACACACACACACACACACACACACACACACACACACACACACATACACACACACACACACACACACACACACACACACACACACACACACATACACAAACAAACACACAGCAACACTGCTAATTTATTGCAAGTAACTTGTACAGCCTTGAGCTGAGCCGTGTATTCTCTGTGAGCAGAGCAGATAATGACAGGACAGAAAATCTGTGTCTGTGTAAATAAGCATGGCTGGGGTTACTGAGTGTCTAAGTATGCTAATGTGTAGGGTGCTGATCCCAAGTGAATCATGCAAATACCATTGTTATGAACCAACACTGGGACAATCACACACATACACACACAGCTGTGTGGGCGAGGACAGGATATCAGAGGAGCCACTACATAATACCATTTCAACTCACTCAGACACACACACACACACACACACACACACACATTTACAGTATACTTCTGAAAATAATGAGGGACTAAAACTGAGTGAAAACCTTATAGCAACACAGCAGTTCTGTGAAGAGTGGTGCTTACATGCAACACTGCAATTAAAACACTAGTATATGGGACTGTATGTTGAGTTTTGTGAGTGATCACAGGCCATAAACATTATCTATTAAGTCAGCAAATGATAACTTGAGATGAAAATGGATCCCAGGCTGAATATTAAGCAGCTGTTTGGTTCTTTATGTAAATAACTCTGGACCTGCAGATTGAAAAAAAAACTGATAAGGTTGATAATAATAATACACTGGAATGGTAATAGAAGACATTTAATTATAACAATGATAATAATAAAAATCATGACAATGGATCAATATCTGATTTCTCACTGCTTTTAAAAAAACAAATAATTGTTTTGAGAACTGCATTAAGAGTTGTGAGAATGACGTTTCTAATGTGTAAAACTAGTTTAGCCTGTCAGTACTGTGGTAGTGGCAGTGTGTAGTTGTGCCTGTAAAATTGAATTAATAAAAGTCATTTTGAACATAAACACAATATGATCACATGATAATCACATGATTAAGGTAAAGTTGATAAATGTTTAACTTTTTATGATTAAAAGAAAAAGTTTCATTCAAAAACGTGTACAAAACATGTTGTGTTGATTGTTTACCAGCTTGTGTGTATGAACATCTTTCTCTCTCTGACAGTTACATCTTCAGACTGAGCTGTACGCGGCTGGGTCAGTGGGCCATCGGTTATGTGACCAATGATGGCAACATACTGCAAACCATCCCCAACAACAAACCGCTGTTCCAGGCCCTCATCGATGGCTACAGGGAGGGCTTGTATGTAGCCTGTCACACTCAAACACTCTCTCTCTCCTTTTCTATCTCTCTCTTTGTTTGTATATTGATATGTTGAGCTAAACTCTCCACTCTCCTGGTCAAGGTATTGTTTCTCTCATACCTGGTAATCAGACAGGCCCCAGACAAATCAAACATGCTTCCATCCATTTAGTGCATGGCATCTCGCTTCCCTCAACTGTCAGTATGGCTGGCTGAGGCAGTCAAGGATTGCTGTGTTTTTGTGAAGTCCAGAAGGGGGAGATACAGGAGAAGGGGGGGTCCTGTTTAAAGCACATGTTTTTGATCAAGAGGGGAGACCAGCAACTTTGGGGGAACTGAAATTCGCATGAATCATTATTTGAAATGTCAGTCAGCATGCTCATACGCTTCTTCTTTAAAATTGATTGATGATCATATTTTACTGATTACAGTATACTTCTGATATTTAGTGTCAATCATAAATCAGAATCAAGTTAAGTCCATGGAAAGCATTTAAAGTCAGACTATTACAATAAGTACTACCATCACGTGTATATCTGCTACTGTCACTTGTAGTTTTATTACTGCTTCTTGTGAGCAGTATTTTTGTTTTAGAACATTCATTGGTTATTTACTCATTCACATGTCTAGAATGACATAGATATAACATGTAAAAATCGAGTGCAGTTAGTGAAATTCATATTGATACCATGTATGCAGACATGACAAACAAAACCTGACTTTGATCAAAACATTTCAAGCTCATATCTTATATGTGTTTGTAACTACTAAAACCTTTTTCTCTCACTTGCAGTTACTTGTTCCCTGATGGTCGCAGCTACAATCCTGATCTCACTGGTTTATGTGAGCTGACGCCTCATGATCACATCAAAGTGACACAAGTGGGTTTGTGTGTATCTGAAAACATGGTCATGGAATTTGTTAGCCTCATAAAGCTAGAAACTCTGTCTTGCTCATGACATTTAAGTGTGGAAACTGTTCACTAAGAACTGACTGAACCAGATCTAATATGTGTCAGACCACTCATATGATATTATACTGTATGTGTGGGAATGTTTCAAAAATGACATGACTCACAGCCTCTTCAAACTTTCAAACCTCGAGAACGGTCATATTAAATGTGTAATTAAATGAAGCATAATTGTCCCACTCCTCTGCTTTTTGCTTGAGATTTATTCAAAGTGATTTTTGTGCGGAGTGAGGCTGAAACTTGATTGATTGATTTCTCCACCACAAGTGCCACCACATTTTTCCAGTTTCAAAACAACCAGTGAGAACACAGCTAGTGGTGTGTTCATGTAATCAGGCGCGATGGTTAATGTACATTGATGTCTTAGTTACAGAGGGAGATCACATGTTGTAAAGCAAATTCCTATCGGCCTGAACAGATGAAAAAGTGTGAAGAGGAAATTGTAGGCTGGTGTTGTGTTGTTGCAAATGTCTGATATGATTCCAAACAGGCGAGTCAGTGAATAATGCTGATGGATGACAAACTGAATTGTTTGTCATGTTATTTGTTTTAAGATTTTGAGATTTTACATTAAGTGAGATTGAAAAAATAGACAAAACATTAACCATGATAATTCAAAGTCATGTAAAAGCTCTGAATTAGAGATCGGAGGTCGCTGAAAACATCATGGAATTTGAATTTGTGGGAATTGTATTGTATGCTTGTTGTATATGTGTGTCTGTATATATATATTGTGTGTGTAGTTTGATCTGTGCATCCGTGGATGACTAACAGAAGTCTGCTCTGCCTGAACAGGAGCAGTATGAGCTGTACTGTGAGATGGGCTCCACCTTCCAGCTCTGTAAGATCTGTGCTGAGAACGACAAAGATGTCAAAATCGAGCCTTGCGGTCATCTGATGTGTACTTCCTGTCTTACAGCCTGGCAGGTAACATAATGAACCGTACTGCATGAACTCATTTAACATTTAGATTTTTGAACAGAGGGTTATAGCTATGGCTTTGGCTGACTGCTGTTGGCTGATTGCTGACCCCATGTTATTGGGGTCAATAACAGAGTATGTACATCTTCATTGTAACATCTTCTGTCTCTCTGTGCAATTTTCTGTCCATTTTGGATAGAACACTACTGTGTTTTTTTTAGATTTATAAGTAGGAATGAATCTTGTTTGAGGATTAACAAGTGTCTGCACATGAGTAAGTAAAGACTCCTGAATTATAAAAGCAGTTTTCAGTACATGGTACATGGTGACTTCCTTCCACTGTCCTTGTGTCTGTCCTAATCAGATTTCCATGTACCAGTCATTAGCAGAAGTGAAGACTGAGTGTTTGTGCAAACAGTATATTCCAGTGTTCCTGCAAGTTTTTCTCTGCTTCCTGCCGCATGCTGTTTTCTGTAGTGTGTGTATCTTATAGCACACACATGTACTGCTGTAGTCGTTCTGCTTGTGTGTATCATAAGCTGTGTCACGTGTGTTTGTAATTACCTTCCACTAATGAGTCATTAGCAATGGGTTCAGAGACTCCATCCTCTCCTTCCTTCCCACCTCTGTCTTTCATACCTCCCTCCTCCCCGCTCCCTCCTTTGTGTGGGACATCTGAGATGGCTCTCCAAACATGTTCAGGGCTTCCTATCAAAGACTTATTTAATGACATTTTGATGCTTCTTGTTGGTGCTGTATATTTATGGAATTATTCAGCTTTCTGCAAATGAAAGTCATCACTGTTTTCTAACTGCAATAGTCTCTGACAGTACTTGTGTGCTTTATATTAGTAATATTCAAACATCTATCCGATGCTTGGCAGTGGAGTCTTTGTGAGGGAGGACCTGGAAAATGACTCAGAAGACTGTGAATGTAGGTTTTATACATGAAAGTGAGAACACTTCGTTTTTCAGTCAGTCAGCGCTATAATAGTTTCCATGCCATTTTAGCCTTTGGTTTGAGTCATCTCAGTCAGGAGGGTCGATGTCAAAATGAAGAATGAAATAAATTTTTTACCATTACATGTATTCACATTCATTGCTGTTTATGTGTTGCTCACCACAGTGATGTTCTTTCCGTGAGAATACAGACATGATTTCCACTAAAAGGAAATCATCCTCAGTGGTATTTTTGTAGACTTGCTAATCTTGAAAAACAAAAACATGGAAAACTAAAGCAAATCGTTTGGGATATCTGCCCCAGACCAATGGTCACAGTTATCACAACACAGACATAATGAATTCCTACAGGGGCTACAAAGTGTTTATTAAATGGGGATCTATGGTCCATAGCATGTGAGTTGTAGCCTTGGTTTGAGCAGCTCTTCAGAGCCCGCACACTAGTGTTTGGTTTGCTGTTCGTTTCTCAAGTGGTTCAGTTTCATGGCTACAAAGTTGGAAAGCTTTTTCTTCTGCTTTACTCTGAACACAGCTGTAGGTTTAGCAAATGAGTGCAGTCTTTCCAGAGCTCAGTCCTGTGCTCTGGAAACAGCAGGATCAGCAGCTCACACAGTCACAGCGTTTGTCTCTCATACTTCCTGTTATGACAACTCAATGTAACCACACCTCCCCCACAAGCTCAGTCACTGATTCAGTGATGTAGAGTTTGTATAAATATGTTTAAATAGACACACCTCTATACACACACACACACACACACACACACACACACACCCACATATGTGTATGTAGTAGTAAGAGTATGTAGTATGCCAGTAAATAAGTATTTTCCTCCACATTAGTGTAATAATGAGTCAGAGAAAGGGAACCCTCCTACCCTGTGACAGTGAGTAACCCAGAACCAGTCTGTTCAGGGCATTGACTCAGTGATGGCTCTCTGACTTCCTCTTACTCTGTATATTAGTCATAGAGGTGGAACAGATATACTCTCACTCAGAGCTGGCTAATCATCTATGTGCTTCCACATCCTGTTTGCTTTATTGAACATTTTTGATTTCGCAGAAAATGGGGTTACATGAGAGGGTTCCCTCGTTCTAGCTATTAGTTTTATCCTAAATCGATACAGTGACGACTCTGAATGATTCACATAGACTTTCCTGTGTCTTCTTTTTAGAACCGTCCCGGTCGTATTTGCACTCATATTTGTTTCATAGAGAATTTATTTGTTGAATTTCTTCTGGAAATAAAATTGGTGAACCCAACCTAAAATCTGGTTGAAAAGCTGAAAGCTGCTCTAATAAATACATTTATATTAATAATTGATAAATTGACTTTGTATAGTATGAAAGGTGTCACTCATAGTGACAAGTTTTTTTTTTTTCTTGCCCACAACATGGTTTTATCGTTCTGGTTCAGCTCAGATAAACACTTAAGCTTTTAGCATCTAAAGAGACAGATATTCTTCCTCAGGAGACGGAGCAGAGCTACTCATCAGGTCACCAGAAACAGGACTCCGTTGTAGATAGGTTGTGCAGTTTATTTCAGTTTGTCAGTCGTGTCTGTTGCCTTAGAGTTTCTGTGGCCATCATACCATCTCCTCCTCCCTCTGGGTTCTCTTCCTTTTAACCTCCCACTCCTTCCCTTTTCCACCCACTCTAATTAGGATCAAGTTTCAAACATCCCTTTGGTTGGTCCCCCCGCTAAGTCCCCAACCATATGGCTGCCACAATTGCTGCTTTGTTCTTTGTAAACATTGTCTGCCCTTGATTGTGGCCGCTTAGTCAGTGGAAGGATGCACTGAAAACCAAAACCTCTTTATTATCTTATTTATGGCCTCTGTTTGACAGGGTCTGCCATGTGGAATATCTACATGTGGCCAATGAATGTTGCAAAGTTGCAGAACAGTTTTCCCTGCAGAAGAGCTACACAATCATGTGTCCAATCAAGTTTGCCAGAGTCCTTTCACGTGTATCCCAGCTGTGTCGCAGCAGCCTTCCTGCTCGACAGACGACAACACTACAGCAACAAACTTAATCAGATCATTAGATTTAGAAAGGTCTGTGGGATACAAATGTCATTACCACACCTGTGTATGTGTTTGTGAGTTTGGATGATGTTTCACTTTCCCTTATCTGTTCCAGGAATCAGATGGTCAGGGTTGTCCGTTCTGTCGTTGTGAGATCAAAGGCACAGAGCCCATCATTGTGGATCCCTTTGACCCACGAAACGAGGGCACCAAGTGTTTCTTCCTGGACCAGCACAGCTGCCACATGCTGGAGCTGGATGACGAGGAGGACCGGGAGGACTGCCTAGTCATGAATGGACTGGCAAACATCAGGAAGGTAAATAGTTGATCTGCTGATGGGTCGGTGACCGGGCTTAAAGAAATCTGATTTGACACTCTTTCCTTTTCCAGGGCCTCATAACTACACTTAATAATAAAACACAGACTCTGTGAAAAAGAGCTTCACTGAGTGAATAAGACAGAAGTGACTTAGTCCTGCTGACAGTAAGTGTAGGATGAACCTTAAAGAGCAACTCTGATGTGATCACGATTTTGTATGCTCAAAGCTTGAATAGTCAATCAGACACAAGAATTTACCCTGCCTCTGCTCCATTATTTAAAAAAGACATCCTTATACCTCACTTATTGATATATTACTCTGCAAAAACATGTGATATTAAAGTTTTAAAAGGTCACTTTATTTGTGAGAAACTTTTAATGTCTCCAATGAAAATTAAAGTGTGAAGGAAACACCAATCTATCTAATATAATGTATATGACTAACGTGTGTATTACGGCTTGGTGTTAGGACCCAAAAGCAGACCTCAGAACTCAAGTTGGAAAAAGAGGGAGTTTTATTGAGCACTTGGGGATGGAAAATGGTACAGGCAGGCAGGTAGATGAGTCCATGGTTTAGATGATGGTTCTGGATCTGTAGCAGGGAGGCAGAGGCAGGTGCGGCTGAGGACAGAGTATATGCAGAGTGAGCACAGGAACAACTAGGAATAACCACAAGGAATAATTACTCTAAGGCAGAACCGACTGGTACCACGTAGTAATAGATATAATCTGGTGATGAGTGGATGATCTGCCACGGTTCTTATACAGAGGTTGATGAAGGTGGATGAGATTCAGGTGTGCCGCGCCGCCCACGGCCAGATAGCCAGGCCACGCCTCCCTGGGGAATGACAGACAGGGAGGAGGGAGAAACACTAGGAGCAGGGGAACAGGAGAGACAGCAGGAGAGAGAGTGGAGGCGGGTAGAGATCCTGTCATCGCGGCTGAGACCGTGACACAGTGAATAACAATAGGTGTTAAATAACTGGAAATTGACTGAAATGGAAACACAAACGACTCTGGACTGGAGTACGGAGGAAATTCATCAGGGAAAATGTATACAAAATGTGATACAAAAATTTGTGCAGGCAATGAAGATGCCAATTGAAGTTGCCAATTTCTGAACAAAATTATTGCCATCTTTATACTTGTTGTCTCATCTCAGTCATCTAGGTTCTACTCTTAACCTCTGCTCTTTAACTTATAAATCATAAAAAAAAATAATTAATAGCTTACATTTTTAAATTTAAGAGTAAAAGTGAAGGATTTGTACTTGTGTGTTTCACCTAAGTCCAGAATACAGTTTGATAAATACAGACCCAGATAATTTCCTTTCTATGGTGACCAGATGATCAGATGTGACCATAAACAGGCCTACATATAAAAGATGATTTTCTTTTCTCTCAGCACTGTGCCGAGCGTCAGAGCTCACCCATGGTGTCTCCCAGCTCTTCACCCGTCAGCCAACACAGGAAAGCCCACCACGGAGACCCCGGCCACTGCATCCAGCACCTTGGCCTGCCCCCTGTCCCACCGCGACTAGACCTCATCCAGAAAGGTGCTATCCGCTCCCCGTCTGCCAGTCCCACCGGCTCCCCGAAGGTCAGTCATGAAAGATAAAAAGTCAGAGTCAGAATCAGAATCTGGTTTATTGTCAAGTAGGTTTTCAACATATAAGGAATTTGCTTTGGTCTTTAGGTGCGTATCAGTAGACATAGTAAGAAGAAAAGAAATATAAACAAAGATGAAACAAGCAAGTACTGCACATAGATATCTTAAATAATGTAGCGTTAACACCAAAATTTAGAATTTGCTCTCATTGAAAGGGGACACCAGTCCTCTGGGAGGACAACAATGAATTACTTCATTGATAAATGTATCAATCTCATATCAGAAGCCATGACTTCTCGATTCAATGGATCTCCAGTCTGTACTTCAGAAGAACACAACAGGACAACAACTGGGTGTAAATAAAGGAGTTTATTTAACTAAACTACTATCTACAGAGTAAATGCAAGGTGTAATAATCATAATGATGAAAATGATAATGAAATGAGCAGTGTGATGAGTTGGCAATGGTGGGAGAGAATATGTTATGGCTATACACTGTGGCTATACAGCTAATGATACTACATCTACAAATTAGGTTTAATGATTAAATATTACTATATTTCAACATCAACCCAGTCATGAGCAGAGTGTTAAGACCGGCCTACTGTGAGTTGCGCTGTAGCTGGACACCCTTGGCTGGAACCCAGGGGGCTGTGGTTGCCGTGGTAACCCTGGAGATGTGGGATCTAGGTGGATTCTCCTGGAGGCCGTGTCCCGTTATCACGGTGACGGATTCTGCCGGTGTCTCAGCGGTTTAGTTTGCCAGGAGACTTTCTGTCTCGGGCACTCTTGATTTCTGGTAGGCTTCTCTGCAGGCGGTCGTGGGCAGATGTGTTATCTAAACTGGAGATTTTGCCTATGCTTCCCAGATTGCCTGGTGTCCATTCATTGATCCTCTGGAGCTGACCCTTTGTCCCACGGTCTGGTTCTGTGTCTCTCTGACATGCTAAAAGCATGGTCTGTTTGTGAGAGAAGGATCCTTTGTCTCTGTTTCCTATCAATTTGATGTTGGGAAGAGTAACAAAGTGTCAATTTTGGGTCCGTAACTCTGCATGTCCTTACAATGAACTTCTTTAATGGCTTGTGACTGATGCCAGGCCAGGCCAAATTTTACAAGATAAAATATTCACAATAAAATGTGAAGAAATATTATAGAAATTGATAATAAATTGAAAAATATAAATGTATACAATACAAATATGTACACTGTGCAAAATGACTGGGGTGTAAGCAATAGTTCATTGGGGAAATGTACAATGTAATGAGGCCAACTGCAGTAGGGAAGAAGCTGTTCTTGGTCCAAGAAGTTTTGGTCCTGATGGACCGCATCCTCCTGCCAGAGGGGAGGGACTCAAACAGTTTGTGTCCGGGATGGGAAGGGTCAGCTACAATCTTTCCTGCTCACCTCAGGGACCACGAGGTGAGGAACAGGTCCTAGAGGGATGGCAGATTGCAGCCAGTCACCTTCTCAGCAGAGTGAATGATATGCTGCAGTCTGATTCTTGTCCTTGGCAGTGGCAGTGGCAGCAACGTACCAGGTGGTGATGGAGGAGGAGGGGATGGACTCGATGGTGGCAGTGTAGAAGTTCACCATCATTGTCCTTTGCAAGTTGAACTTCTTCAACTTCCGCAGGAAGTACATCTTTTGCTGGGCTTTCTTGGTGAGGGAGCTGATGTTCAGCTCCTGTGACACAGTGGTGCCCAGGAAGCGGATGTACTCCATGGTGTCCACGGGGGAGTCACACAAGGTGATGGGGGTGGGTGGGGCTGGGTTCTTTCTAAAGTCCACTATCATCCCCACTGTCTTAATTCAGCATTCAGCTCCAGATGGTTCTGCCTGCACCAGGTCACCAGATAGTCAATCTCCCACCTGTAGGCAGAGATAAGTCCAAGGAGGGTGGTGTCGTCTGCAAACTTCTAGAGCTTGACTGACTGATAACTGTAGGTGTAGGTATTGTTATAGAAGAGCAGAGGAGAAAGGACGCAGCCTTGGGGGGCATCCGGTGATGATAGTAGATGGGAGAACTTATGCTGCAGCAGGGATGGGATGATGGTATTGAAGTCCACAAACAGGATCCTGGCATAGGTCCCTGAGGAATCCAGGTGCCTCGTTTTGCCACCATAGCTGACTGAGCTTAGCTGTGAACCAGGGTTTGTCATTGTTATAACTCACCATGGTGCATGTTGGGATACAGCNGACTGTAGGTGTAGGTATTGATATAGAAGAGCAGAGGAGAAAAGACGCAGCCTTGGGGGGCATCCGGTGATGATAGTCCGGGAGTCAGAGATATGTTTCCCCAGTTTCACATGCTGCCTCCTGTCGGACAGGAAGTTAGTGATCCACCTGCAGATGGAGTAAGGCTCGCTCAGATGGGAGAACTTATCCTGCAGCAGGGATGGGATGATGGTATTGAAGGCAGAGCTGAAGTCCACAAACAGGATCCTGGCATAGGTCCCTGAGGAATCCAGGTGCCTCGTTTTGCCACCATAGCTGACTGAGCTTAGCTGTGAACCAGGGTTTGTCATTGTTATAACTCACCATGGTGCATGTTGGGATACAGCAGTCCTCACGGAAACTGATGTAGGACGTCACAGCCTCTGTGAACTCGTCCAGTCAGTGCAGTCCAAGCAGGCCTGAAGATCCTCAATGGCATCACTGTTCCACTGCTTTGATGTCCTCACAACAGGTTTACAGAGTTTTAGTTTCTGCTTATATGTAGGAATCAGGTGGACCATGGCATGGTCAGAGAGGCCCAATGGAGCCCAGGGAATGGCGTGATAAGCACCGTTGATTGTGGTGATCAAATATATTCCCCACCCTGGTTGGGCATTTAATAAATTGTTGTTGTTGAAGTTCATGGCTGTGGTTTCCTTGGTTAAAGTCACAGAGGACAATAACTAGGGAGTCCGGGTTAGTTCTCTCCACACACAGTATGTGGTTGGTGAGTTGGCCTGTGGTGTAATGTAAACACCAACCAGAATTAATGATCTGAGCTCACGGGGGGAGTAGAGAGGTTTACAGTTTATGAAGAATGATTCCAGGTTAGGGGAACAGATCTGCAGGATCACTATCACGTCATCACAGCCACTTTGTGTGGCTGAATTAACAAACAAAATAAGGCAAAAAGGGTTAAAGGTAGACAAAAGACATATACATTAACAAAAAAAAAAAAGAAAACATCTCTACATTAAACTTGCACAAGGCCACGAAGCACTGTGATGGCCCAAGAGGCAGCAAGGTATTACAGTTTTTCTCAATCGCTTTGATGCAATCCTCACATCAGAAGCATCATTCTCACAACTCTTAATGCTGTTCTCAAAACAGTTCATCATTTCCCCACACTAAATAGCATTTCTCATTGTATTTGTACAAGCTTCCTTTGTATCCAAACATAGTTCAATACAATTTTTTTTTTCTCATTGTGATGATGCATTTCTCATCTGACTTTAACAACTCATGAAAGTAGTTTGTACCTTTGTCAGTTAGAATGACAAACCTCTCACTCACTTTGATACAGTCCTGCATTGCATTACACACACACACACACACACACACACACACACACACACAGACACACGGAGCCACTGCTAATTTATTGCAAGTAACTTGTACAGCCTTGAGCTGAGCCGTGTATTCTCTGTGAGCAGAGCAGATAATGACAGGACAGAAAACAGGTTACTGAGTGTCTTAAGTATGCTGATGTGTAGGGTGCTGATCCCAAGTGAATCATGCAAATACCATTGTTATGAACCAACACTGGGACAATCACACACATACACACACAGCTGTGTGGGCGAGGACAGGATACCAGAGGAGCCACTACATGATACCATTTCAACACACACACACACACACACACACACAAACACACACAGACACTAGTATGGCTGTATTTTGAGTTTTGTGAGTGATCGCAGGCCATAAAAAATATCTATAAAGTCAGCAAATGATAACTTGAGATGAAAATAAAAATGGCAGCTGTTGGGGTCTTTATGTTCTTTACTATAATTGTTGCTATGTTCTAAGTTTGATTGCATATCTTTGTCTATTTTCCGACGAATAGTTCCACGTTTATCATTTTGCTTTCCTCAGCTACGGCAGTTATATTCTGTAAATATACAGATAGAGTTTTTTTCAACTGTTTTCACATATTTTCTAAACTAGGTCTAATTTTTTCAAAATTATACACACAAAACCAAAAATTTAACACAAAATGAAGAGGGCCACAAATCTGCTGCAAAATGAAACTATCATTGAAAATATCATAAAACATCTAAAAATAAAGCCAAACACGTTTTTTCAGTTTAGTAATTTTGTTCTAAATATAGTTATTTTTCCATCATGTTACTGTTGTAACTGTAGTACATTGTTTGCATCTGAACATTTTTCACTGTATATTTTTTGCAGTTTTCTAAAGTCAGTCAGGTTTTTTTTTTATCAAAACATCAAAACATTCGGCGTCTAAAGTCTTGAAGCATTGTTGAAAGGGTTTAATTGATTGGTGACAATGTTGAAGTGATTGACTGACTGCATGTTTTTTTCATGTGAACAAGGTTTTGATTGATTTAAAGGCTTTTGCACAGGTGATTTAGTGAGAAATTCATTTACTGTTTTGAGAACTGCATTAAGTTTCCGATGAGTGAATTGTATCAAAGCGATTGAGAAAAACTGTAATTGTCACTCCACCTCTCTAGTCTTCACCAGGCATGTCCAGGAAGCAAGACAAGCCTCTCCCAGCCCCACCTCCTCCTCAGAGGGACCCACCTCCACCGCCTCCTCCTGAGCGTCCTCCTCCCATCCCCCCAGAGTCACGCCATTCTTGGCTCCCCAGTTCCTCTTCTTTGTCATCTTCTACTGGCGCACTGTCAGACTCCCAGATGCCTTCCGAGACATGGTGTACCAAAGACAGCCACCTGGCAGATGCCCACAGGACTGGAGTCGAACACCAGGTTCAGCTAGGACCCTCTGGCCCCTCCCACTTGAACGGAAGACCACTCAGTTGTCCGTCTGCAGGATTTGGAAGGTTGCATCACAGAATGGAGGGGGCAGGAAACTTGGATAGCTCCAAGGTAGGGTTTGCAAGTTTGTCTTTTTTGTTTTCACAGTAAAAGAAAAAGAATGACTTTGAATGAAATTCTGTACAAACATTCATGATTCAGAGGAGATGAATGCTAATTACTTTGGTGATCCTCTGACTTTTCCTCCAGCTCCATCATCAGGTCAATACTAATAGGTCAATACACAAAACTACTGACATTCCCATCAGTCTCAGCTGTACTTTGAGCTAACACGCTAAAACTTAATATTACATCCTTGCAAATACTTTTCAGTACCTCATTTAGAATTGTATTTCTGAGTAACTGTAAAGTCATAGTTTGATTGACTGATGATGCATGAATATATAAATGTATAAAAAAGTTAAGTATGTTGATCCTGTTGTACAACAACTTCTAAAATAGTTGACTATGATGATCAGTATATATATCTTGTATAATTAGTATATAGAATGGATTTGAGACATTAGTCTTGTTTCTTTTATGTGTGATAGCAATGAGGGGTCATTACCATCATGTAGCAATGACATGAGACTGGGAAAGAAGCCATTTTTAAAAAGCAGCAACAAGTGCAAAGAATTGTTAACATTCGCGTTCAGTGTCATAGTTTCTACAGAGAAACTAAAGACGGTCCGTGGGGTGAGCTGACAGATTTTAGCTGCCATTCGCTGTCAGCCCAGCCCATAGCACACAGCCTGCTAGCATGCTAAAAAAATCTGTTCATTTAGATTCCCACTTATTATTGTTTATACCGATGTGGGTTTGCTGGTGACAATATCTTGGAAATATATCATTCATAGATGCATAGTAATGTGTTGTTGGAATGTGTTCTGAACAGTTTATTCTCACAGACCTTTTTCATGCACTTTTATCTCAGCCTGTCCATTAATAACATAAACTGAATTCTGAATTCTAATTAACTGTATCCCACAGAGACATACAGCTGCAGTGGGACGTCCAGGTACATCTGATGCACTGCACTAGTGATTTATAGCATCCATCAGCATTTTTTTGCATTTTATGTGGCTTCCCATCTGTTAGTTTGTGGTCCACACTTTAGGTTAAATAGAGCGATCCCCTGCTTTAACTCCATGTTCTGAAAACGTCTCAAAACACGTAATCCCCAAATCACTGCCCACAGCTCAACATCTGATCTAATGGACCATTGTTTATTAGATAAAGTAACTGAATGTGCATTTGTTTATGTTGAGTCAAAATCTTAGTGATTTTACATTCATGGGTATTAGAATCTTTTTGTCCGTAGTTATGAACACAGTGAGAAAATTTACAGGTTTTGTTTCTGAGAAGAGAAACAGAGGTGGAAAGTTGAATGATTCATCACTTTGTATTATTTGCAGATGTTCACAAAGGAGATTTATTCAAGTCAACCCTGATTTAATTACACATGCTTGTGGTTTACCACTCTGTCATATAAGACATGAACAAATAAGATGCTCTGCCTTTCTTCTGTTGAGTAAATACATAGTTCAAGTGTGGTGAATGGCATATAAATATGATAATCTATGCTAAATAATGAAATCATTGATTTAACTGAAACTCACTGTTTGAAATCACCATTCAGTGACTACCAAGTGAATCTTACAGAATACTTCTGAGCATCTGCATAATTTGTAAACTCTCTCCACTTTATCATTTAAAAGTCCAGTGTGCAGACACACACTCATGCGCACACAGCCAATTGCTCCCTCTCCCTCCAGAGACGCTGTTTGATCAGAAGGTGCCTCCAATTGCCTGTGGAGAGTATTATAATTTTTGGTAATATTCAGGAAGTGGTTATTTGCATCCTTTCATTCTCCAGTATAGAGCAACATTCATTTCAGAGGCAGGTGTGCTTTGCAGATTAAATATATTTCTGCTGATGGTAATATTTGGCTCGGGATTTTCGTAATAATCCTGATGTGGCATTGCTAAAGGAATTTATTATTTTTAATAATAATATTAGTAGTAGTAGTAGTAGTTCTACAAAATACTATAAATATTTTAAATATTTGTTTTAAATAAGAAGCTGGGTCAAAACAGTATGCTTTTGGAAGCTCTGGGGAGTAATTCTGCCACAGAGAGCTGAGGTCTCTTCCTGAAAGCAGGTGTAACAAACTCTGACTCTAATCCAGACTCTGAGTTGATGAACCCTGAGATGGGAAACTCTGAGTTTTCAGTTCCAGAAAAGCTGATCTGAGTTAGTTAAATTAACTGAGTATGTTCACTCTGAGTTAACCGCATGTATGAGGAATATAAAAAGGCATCATCAATGGATCTCTGATTCAATGATTCACCATGGCAACAGGTAAATAAAGAGCAGGGCATCTGAGCAGCGTGTGAGCTGAACTATTATATTTTATTCAATGTCATCCACTAGACCATGTTATTTAGCCAATTTTTATTTCCTTTATGGATGTAAAGAGCTGGAATCTACTGCCTGTTAGATTAGATGTTTAAATATTTTATTCACCTGTGACTTGATGGGGACAAAGTTCTGCTGCAGCAGAAGATGAAAATATAAATGGAACAAATTAGACAGGAGTTTATAGATCTATGATTGTAACCTCAGGTTCTGACCTAGGAACAGCTTCATGATTTTGGTGATTTTCATTGAAAAAACATAGAGGTTAAAGCTGAGTGTAAATTTTCAGATGTCCACTTTACATTTAAAAATCTTGCTCAACAGTATCAATTACTATATGTCAACATGTAATTTTCAACATGTTCTTTTAAGATGCATTACTGTAATCCTCAGAAATATCACATCATCTACAATATCATATGACAGCTATGATTGAATTGTTCATCAGTGAGACCAATGAGAACATGAGAAATGATTCTTCATTGATCAGAGTCTGTGTCTAAAGATTCACACAGATTTTTTTTACTTACACTGATGGATGTATAGTAAATGTTTCTGTGCAGAGGAACTGATTGACAATCTGACAGGTGTCTTAATGACAGTGCAGATTTAATCTGAGCTGAGGATAAAGCCTGCGTGTGTAATATCTGAATGTCAGAGATCATTGTCTCTGTTCTCACACTGACTCATCAATCATAAAAGAGGTAGCCTAATGTGTGTAAAGACATGTCTTGAGTAACAAACAAATGTCTAATTGGGATTTTAAGTCTCCCAACGTAAATTCATTAAATGAATGCCTCCGATCTGCACTTTGATACAGACTGTATGAATGAGGAAACGTGTCAGAGACTTCTGAAATTGCTGCAGGAGGAGCGGAGACAGACAGAAACTCAGGGTTTGTTGGAGAAAATCTGCCAGCGAGCAGGTTAGCTTCACAGAGTAAGTTACCATGGTAAAAAATGGATGAAATGTCAACAATGAATGACAATAACCAATACAGAAGATGTTACATGCAATGAGACAAGAAAAGCAAACACTGTTCACAGTTTTCATCCATATTCTTCACATTCAGCACAATCAATTTGTATCGATTGATTTGAGGTAGAGCTATTGATAGGCTTTGCTGCCATCGGTACCAATTAGAAAAAGAGGCTGTAAAAAAGGTTTTCCAGAGATGTTTTCCACGGGACCACACAGTCTTGCCAGTACCCTCTAAAGCACTGCTTTTACTTGCAGAGCTTGACACAACTTATATATGGTAGAGTTTTAGTTTTTTGTTTTTTTTTCATAATTATATAAATTGTATAAAAACACGTCAGCTTTCGGCAAGTGATTCATCCGGCTCAGAAATAATCTTTTACTTTAAATATATCAGGGTTTGATCAAACAGGTAATTCGATACATGCTTGTTTTTTCAGGGAGTTGCTGTGAAGCTACAGTAAGTGAATAAATGTGATGTAGAGCTGATGTATCTACCTTCAGTGTGGTGTCCTGGCTGTGTTTGATCAGTGATGAGGATTTCACTGACATCCTCCCACTCCACAATCAGGGAGGAACAAAGATATCCGATATGTAATATACTGGATTTAAGTTTATTTCAGTTTGTCAGATTCAGTTGATTTTGGCCTTGTCAGTTGTTCCTTTGCATTTTCATGATAGTCTCTCCTTCTCTTGTGTGTGTCTGTCTAGCCCTTCCCTAATGGCGTGCAAGTCAGCGATGAGTATGATATCCTTCCCTCCCGGCTCTCGCCAACTCAGTCCACACTTGCCAGTAGCCACAAGTAAGTATTACACACACACAAACACTCACACACGCTACACAACACAATGGGAGCATTTATCCAGCAAAATGGAAAAATTTTCCCTGGAGATGTTCTGAAAAAGTTTGGGCATTATTGAAACAATATCTCTGTACAACCACTTTGTATTAATGTGGGCAGATAAGATTGCAGCGTGTGGAAACATGTTCGTTTCATGCATCAGTACAGTGATAGATTAAAAGCTTAAAGAAGTGAGCTCTCACTTAACTTTTTATACATAAAGATGCTTCAATACTGAACAAAAGCCTGTTTGATCAGTGGATCAGTGAGTGAGTGGGTGAGTGGGTGATTTCCTTCAGTCTAAAGTTCTGTCTCCTGGACATGCTCGTTTCTTTTCTCTGTGGTTTCAGACTCTGGGGCCTTATACCACTGAGGTCTAGGAGCCTCAGGGAAAAGTCCTGGTTCGAAACAGCTTTGAAAAATGATGTTAACAAGCAGCCTTTTAGCTGCAGCCAGAATTTGATTAGGGGTGTTTCTGTGTATCAGACTATAGTGGAGTCAGGGGATGGAGCTGCCACTTGTGATGAAGCTTGAGCTGAAAGTGAAAGCTCTGATTCTACTGGAAACAATTTAGTGCTGTAAAAAATTGTGAGGTTGTCAGAGTAATACACACACTTCCCTTACACAAAATACTGCAGCTGACTTGCAAACATAAATTCTGCAAGTATAGGTTACATTCACATGATCACTTATTCACACACACACACACACACATATATATATATAACGATCCCCATTCATTACCAAAAGCCCGACCTGAATATTTATTGATATTTTTACTGCATCTATTTGTTTAGTTTATACTGTTTGCTCATGTTTAGTGTGTAACCGTGGTTATGGCGGGACATTAGGCTGTGTAGGTGTTTCTTGTTAGTGATATGCCAAAGAAATTGCTGTATCATTCGTTGTGTCCTTCGCTGTTGCCTTGTTTAATCATTAACTACAGAAGACACAACAGTTAATGGACTTTGCACCTCAGCAGCACAGTAGCTTTATACTGTAACACATACAGTAGGTAGACACAGATAAGGTGCAGCCAGCTGATAGGTGGTGCTGCATATTTTCACATTACTGTACTTCAGTGTTAAAAGTCTTATTGAATTAGGCCTAATGGCTGGTCAGTTTTTGTGGAAGATTAGAGACTAAAGCCATGATCAGTGTTGTGTTATCCTTCCAGAAAGAACCTGATTATTATTTCACACAGTTATTTCATACATATTGTACAACCACTGCCTTTTGCTGCTGTTTCTCAGATGTCTTTCACACTCATTTTCCCAACAACTTAGCAGGAAATTACAACACACACACTGAAGTCCCCAGGCCTGCTTCTTCAATTTTTAGACCATTGGTTTCCAAACTTTTTCTCACACACACAAACAAAGACCCAATACAGCACACATAAACATGCACCTCGCCTAAACATCTGTTCAGTGACCTTTTTATCATTCCGGATTAAGGATGTCAGGAGGATTACTTTATGCTTCTCTGCAGATTTGCTGATTAAAATAAACAATGAATTAAATTTAAATGTATTTCTCTCATTTTCTGTGACGTGAAACAAGCTTTATTTTTTTTATATACAAAGACAAAATAAAAAAGGTTAAAAAAAAAACATTTTATTGCGACACATGAGCTGGTGTGCACACACAGTCTGTTGACATGGAGAGAAATTAAAGATTGTACAACCTGTAGCTGTGACTCTACTTACAGATACTTCCTCAACTTGTTCTTTCATTTATACTAGTTAAAAAGTCAGGGTGATGCCAGGAGCAGCAATAACGCGCTGCATGGTTGGAGAGTGATGGATATCTGTTTCCCACAAGCAGCTAAAACCTGTGTGTAGAGCAGTGGTCTCAGACTGTGATAGGTCTCAGCATTTCATGAGTTTTATTTACAGTGACAAAGATGTCATTGTAAATATGTCAAGTATCAGAAAGCTCATGATATGACTTTGATAACTAGCTGTGAGCTGTCATGTCATTAGCTGTGGATAACGACATATTGAGCAGGGTTTTTTATAGGGTGTTCTTATTCTGTTTTGACATATTTATGTTTACACATGTTATACACAGAGTATACAATTTAGTCAATGAAAATGTCACATTGTTGTTTTTATGCACTGAAAGATTTTTAACATGTAAAACAACAAATGTAAAAAGTCTTGTTGCACCGGTCGGTCTTTACATTACCCCATCACTGCCATCCTGCCCTGATAGCACTGTGAAAATATCAGTGATTGCAGTTTGAATGTAATAACTGTATGAGTGACACTAATCGAGAGGTTGGGTCGACAACCATCTTTACAGACCCACAAACCCTTTCACCAGTCCTGTGGTAGAACGACAGCAGAGGGTGATGGAGAGGGCGGAGGATGACTATCAAATCCCTTCATCCAACCTCTGCCTGAGCCAGCCTCCAATCTGCATCTCTGTACCGAGCAGGTACTCACCTTGTCTCAGTGTATTGAAGTTACTATGGTGATCCAGTGAAGATGGTTTCAGTTTGAGATTTTCTTTCTCATTCAGGCACTTGGAGAATGGCTCCCCAGAGCCCTCCATTGAGGAGAAGAAGTTGCGGCCCCCTGAGCCTGGTGAGAAGATTTACACATCACAAATGATTAATATATTATGTGTATCCCTATTACCATGAGATCTTTGACGTGTCCATCTGATATTGTGAGTGTTGTAATGAGCGGATAGATATGATGCCCACAAATTATCTGTAGAGCCAGTTTGAACACATCAGGATACCTTGTTTAATTGATTTAATGAATCTGAAAAAATTCTACTAATGATTCTTAAAATAAGAAAGAGACAACAGGCCATATTGATGCCAGCAGAGTGATTATTCCGCCTCGTTTAAGAAAACTAAACGTTAGAAGAAATTGAATCAGGTTTAAGAGAACAACAACCAAGCAAAACTAACTAATGCCATCGGCTGAATTCTTCTATTGTTCATTGAAAAAAAGCATTTTTGAAAATTGAATATCCTGTGCCTTGTTGAAGTGGCTATTTACACCACAGGCTGCTTCATGTTGAACTCTGCTTGTGTTCCTCAGGTACACACTCAGAATTGGTCAGGGGGTTGGTCCCGGGGGCAGCACATACTGCCCTCTACCCCTTCAACACTACCCTGTCACCCTCTGACTATGACATTCTGCTGCCCCCCCAAGGTAGCTCACCCTAACAAGAACACATCCCCACCCTGACATTGCCCATCCACTCCGTCTTTGTTAATCCATCTCTCTGAACCTGTCCTTTCTGTGTCAGTGTTTCTCCTGCGGACATGGCAACACACTGTCTAACTGTACAATGTCACTCTTGTCCTGTGGAAACCTTGTATCTCCCACTGTCAAACTTGTATCCCTCACTTAATCCAATGAACATTACAGACAGATTATTAGACGATAATAACATCTATAACTAAATAACATTAATTTAGGTATTTTATTAAAATCATATTCCGCAGTTGATTTACAGGCACATTTGTGTTAAATTGTCAAATCAACTTCCCAGTAGCAACCCTTGCAGCAGAGTTGACATGGTCCTCATGTGAAAAGGACTGAATGGACTCTGTGCTAAATGGGCCACAGCTGGATATGGCAGGTATGATAGAGAGTAAAACTGTAAACAAAAAGTAAAATTAGGCTTCATATAAAGGCCTAGTTTCTGGATTGTAATCTCTCACATTGTGCTTATGATTATACATTTGATATCCTGTAGGCACCACTTAAGAGCTTGTTAACCCAGGCTTTAGTTCACTGTACTAACACAGTCATACATGTATGTGATGGACATGGGTAAGTATTTAAAACAATAACACATCCTGATCTTTTCTCTTTGATTATTTTGAACCACAACAATCCAGCCCTCGAGCACCTCCTGTCCCAGTTCCTCTCTTGGCTTTCCTCTAAAAGGCAGCATTCCAGCCTCTCTCCAACATGTAACCTCAGTATATGATTCAGACTTTATATTCAGCCACCTCCTCGTATAAACTGTGAATCAGGGCAGAGCAGAGAGCTCAGTATTGTCTGTGGCTTCTGTTGTGTTTCAGCATTAGAGGAACCCTTCAACAACTGCCCTCTGTCCCAGCCTCCTCCTTCCCCTCCTCCCCCTCCACCGGCGCGGCACAGCTTTACCGATCACTCCTCCTCTTCACTGTCCTCATCCTGCAACTCCACGTCCTCCTCCTCTGTCATAGCACGACCACACAGGCCCTCCTCTGGACATGAGCACTTGCTGTTAAACCCTGGTGAGCTGGCAAACCCACAACATCTCATTCTAATCAAAGTTATACAGTGAGATGTAACTGTAGTGTCATTTCCTAATCTAATACTTTTCTCTGTATTATGCTAACTGGATTGTGGAAAATGTAACACACATCACACACATTACTTTGTTGACTGACAGATAGCAACAGGATTGTTGACTTGACTTTTACTGTGTAATCTGTGGTCTAGACACAGTGTTTGACATGCTGAACAGTGCTGCTCCTCTGCCTCCAGTCAGACGACACACTGAAAATGTTAAAGGCTCCGGAGCCTGCCTGGAGTACGACCATTTACCAGGTAGTCATGGCAGAGTTACATCTCCTTCTAAGCAAAGACTACATGAGGAACTGCACACAGGTCTTGATAAGGGTATAAATGTGTGAAAACGTAGTATGAAAATACAGTTATAATATACATATTACAATACATTGTTCTCTAGGTTTTAGACCTCAGTCATCAGGTTATGATGACTGAACACATGACCAAAATTCTTGTACTCTAGGAATTAAGACCTGAAAAAGTATGAGCCTCTTTATGGAAGCAAAGAAGAAAGAATATCTGGTAGAAAAGTTTTCTGAAGAAGAAAATACTTTAAGATTCATGTACACTCTCAAGGGCAGGGAGAGTCTAATTAACATGAACAAGAAGTCCTTTCCAGCTTTTTCCATGATGGCCCCAGGACTTAAACAGATTATAGTCTCTGTAGTGTTAACTTTTAAAGATGTACCTAGTTTCACTTGAAGCAGGCAGACCCCAGGACCTCAAAGACAAACATGCAGCGACTACCTCAATATCTGATTTCTACATATGAAAGACAGTCTTTACTTAAAGGAGCTATTTGTAACTTCTGCCACTGCTACATAGTCACCGTTAGCATGAACAGCTGTTTACTTAGCAGTCCAGAGGAAATGCTGCAAGTTCAGCATCAAACTTCATTCCTTTACTCGCTAAGAGCTGTCACCAGAGGTGGAAGGCACCCCCCATGTTGACTTTTCTTTTGCTTCTATTTCTGTCAGTTGTTTTCCTCTACTGAGGTTAGCATGGTAACCAGCTAGCCCTGGCCCTGGAGCCGCTCAGAGGACATATTATAACCTCTTGTATTATAAATGCACACTAAGCCCCTTTAATGATAAAAGTCAAAATTCTGAAGGTTTTGGGGAAAAATGTAAAAGCTTTCGTTCTGTGACAAGCAGCATTTAGTCTACTAAATTTTCCCTGACCACTAATAACACCCTCAAGTTTATGCCTGTGTGCCAGGCTCATGAGTTTTATTTCTCTCCCTCCAAGCATCGATGGACTGTTCGCAGGCCCCCGCCAGGCCACCCAAGCCACTCCCCAGGAAGATCCCTCCAGACATTCAGTCAGGAAAACCCCACAGCATGGAGTCAGAGACCGTGGATGCCAAGATCGCCAAGCTGATGGGAGAGGGTTACTCCTTTGAAGATGTGAAGCGGGCACTGATGATCGCCCAGTACAAAGTGGATGTGGCCCGAAACATTCTGCGAGAGTTTGCCTTAGTGGCCCCGAGACTGAACCTCTAGTCCTAGAGACAGTGAAAAGGGGAGCACAATGAAGCTGTGCCTCTGAATGAACTGAATAAAAAAGGGCTCGTTTGTGCAGCTTGGCCTCAAACTGTTGGAAAATACTCTGATCAAAAGAAACAAATAATTATTTCAAGGAAGACTCACCTTTTGTTGCTGAACAGAGATGACGACATACGACAAAGTGGCTAAAACCAAATCACGGCAGAACACAGAGAATCAAAAAAGGGAGAGAAGAGCATCTGTGAATGATTTAAACCTGTGAAAAAAAAGAACCAGGCTTATTGTTGTTTACAATGGGCTTTTACCAGTGCTGGCCTCTGGTTTGCAAATGCTCCTGTTTGTCTCTGGGCTTGGACTGCACGCCTGTTTTAAAGCCCTGATCCTGCTAGTGCTGCTACTGTTACTTTCACATCCTGCCACCCTCCAGAGTCTATTTTGAAGGGCTTTTCAAAAGAGCAAGACATTTGCATCTCATTTCAGCTTACATGCTCAGCCAGTTTTAAGAGATCATTTTTATTTACAACCAGTGGGGGGAGTCAGACTCCACTGATTCTCTTCTCTAACTCTGCTTCTTACTCTCCTCTCAACAGTGTCCGCTGCCCCACCTACTTACTCTGCCTTTCCTTGTGTGTTGTGTGCACAGAATATTCCACTGTTTGCCCAGAGTCTGGCAGACTTGTAGGTCTTAACAAGGTCCGTTGAGTTAGGAGCGGTTAGATGGAGCCGGAGGATGTTCCCCCAGACCTGGAGAAAACTGTGAGACAGCTGCAGAGGATCACTCTAGTTAGACTTGGTATCTGGTGAAGCAAAGAGATAGCGGGACAGTTAGTTATCGCTCTTTGTTTCTGTTCCGAGACCAGAGAATTAATCAGCTGAGGCCTTTTTTAATTACATTCTTCATCTGAGGACAGCAAGCCTATGAATGTATTTGTTCTGCATGAGCGAGCTGTACCTTTGTGCACTTTGAGCTCCTCTCAGGCCCAGTTTTGAAGTGATTAAGTGGTTTGTGGACATTTTTTAATTACTCCTCAGTTGCTCTGTGTCAAAAGCCGGACAATTGTGCCTGCATTTCAACTCAAGCATTTAAATGACAGGAGCGAGTCTGTTGTGTTGATCAGCGAGCCAGACGTCATCTGTTAAAGCTTGGAGCCGATGCGCTCAGCAGCTGTCACACTGCAACCTCCTGTCTCCACTTCAATTATCCAGTCAGCATATGCTGAAAATGTCAACATTTCAACATGTTTGAGGATTCGCTCTCCGTCTGATTTGGAGTAAGAATCAATAAAGTTGAACCATAGAACCCTGCAGAGCGTTCAACATGAGACGAATCATATGCACCTTCACTGTGCAGGTGAAGTTGAAACCCCCTTACCTCAGAATCTGGAATCAGCTGTACCATAATCTAGAATCTGGAATCACCTAATGACTGCACCATATTTCACCTATGCACATAGGCCTACTGGTTTTGTTCAAATGTATTTTTTTTCCTTGTGGAATGGAGATGTATAAAAGATGCAGATCAGTGCTGGACCTGTTAGTGGTGTTGTTTGCTATGTTTACATGGATGATAAAACTTGGCTATTATTTTAAATTAAAGAATCATTTCAGTTTATAATTTGGGACTTGATTTTATTGTTTTGGCCATTGTTTCCATTGGCTGTGACAGAATTGTAGTCACCAGAGTAATCAGGTGGAACATCGGAATACAGCCTCAATTTCGCACTTTCCCAAACTTTAAAAAATCCCAGAACAGATTATTAAACCACAGGGTTTATTAAAAACACTCATGTTTTTTTTTTTTTCCTGACTGATGGCTGACTCCTTTTTAACGATGTTTATGCGTTTGCAGATCTCAGCAGTTTGGAGTGAACAATGTTACTGATTAAAACGATGGCCAAAACTAGGGAAATGAGACCCAAGCTGTAGAAGAAAGTCTGGCATTAAACGTGCTACCAGTCGAATATGAAATGTAATGACTATGATGACCTCTTGGGTCGTTATTTGCCTCCATAACGGTCACAAAAACATGTTACTTCCCTATTGGTGAGTTATGTGTAACAGAATTTGTCGTCTGGGAGACAGTGGGCTGAGGAGACAGACAGCTATTGTCTTCCCTGACAACAATGTGATGTGTCAACATGATGTGGTTTTAACTGTCATCCTAACTACTGTATATCAGGACTGTAGTAACTTTTATTATATTAATGGTTGATACAGCCAACTGAGCCAGGCACCTTGACTGTGCAGCGTCTGGGTCTGTGCGTGTTTTTGTTGATGAACAAACAAGACTGAGGAAGACCACTGTCTGTTTGGACCCCTTTGTGCTGTGAGTTAGTCCAACATGTACCCAGGGACAAGATGAATAAACACACAGAGAAGAACATGGAGCATTGACCCATTTTCACCTCCACTCTCTCATTTTTCCTGAAGCCATCATTAGGCTATCAAAATAGATTTGAAAGATGTGTTTTTCTTCTCAGAGGGGCTTTAAAGTGTTGATTGATTTTGGTCCTCTGTGACTGAGGTTCCTAATGATGCAGATAACCTTGTTTCTGATCAAACATTGAACCATCTCACTGCAAAAATGAAAAAGAAAATGTTCGGTTCGAACATCCTGGTAATACAGCAGGAGGAATTCCTCAGGATCCCTCAGCCAACACACGTCTGTCCATAAAGAGGGATGTATTTGCCCAGCCACCATCCCTTACCTCCTTTTTTGAGCTGCACTTTCAAGAGGAACACCGCTGTAGTATAAAATGTGTTAATATTAATCCAATTAATATTTGGGCTGAAGACGCTCCATAGAGAATTTGTGATAATGAGCGATGCTGTGTGCAAGGAGGAAGTCTGAGAACCAAGTCTCTAATCTCTGTTATCATCCACAGCACAGACACAGATTCACAGAACATAATTTTCTAGCATTGTGCTGTATGGTAATTCAGTACAACCATAAAAGTATGTCAACTAAACAAAAACACACATAAATGTATAATGAAACACTCATATGATGCTTAGTCATCAGCTAAGCAGCTTTATCTACTCCCCTGACAAGGAGGACTGAAAATTCTGGACTTCATTAACATTTCAACACTCGTACGATGTGTATATTGCCATGGTGCGGATGGACTGAACCAGAAAATGTTCTCTGATCCTCAGAAAGAAATGCGACACTGATCTCCTTTTCCCACTCACACCACACAGTGAAACAGGGAATTCAGATGTGAAAATCAGTGCCTTGGGTCAGCTCTTTCCTTGCACTTTCTTCCTGTATAAAATAAACACATTACTTTGAGCCAGAGGCCTCAAAATGCAGTGGAAATAACAACAGTCTCACAAGTAATTATGACTTCAGGGAGCTTCATTCTGCCTGTGAAACTGAAGTCAGATCACGAGAGAGCTCTGACAACTAATGCTACTTGATTTAATGGAATACTGAATTAAACTGTAAGTTATAAAAGTTAAAGTCTAACAGAAAGTTATCAAAGACAGTGGGAAATTGTCCCTTTGTTGAACTCAGCCATTAAAAGATACAGTGACAACACTGACAGAAGAAATGCCTGCAGCCAACACTATGGGTTGATATCTGTTTTTCTGTCTTTTCTGTGAATACATTAAATTCTGGAAAAAACAAGAAAAAAAACAAATAACTGATCCTACTTACAAGTGCCGTTTGTGTCCCTATGCCACAGAACTCCATCGTTGTCCAAAATCATCACACACACAGCACTATACCTGTTAATTAGGGCGGATGTCTAACAGCATTGTGAAACACTGGAACATCGTTAGAGCTGCATCATTTGTTTATGTCCGTGTTGGGTTCTAAATTGTTGTCTGGTTTTGGGCTGACAAAAAAAATTGGGAAATGGAAAGTTCAGCCGCCTGAACTTTGACCTTCTGATCTCTGATTGTCCTGAGCATTGTGCACTGAACCTTTAAAAAAAAAAAAAAAAAAAATGACACTGATTCACAAAAAAATGTCTGCGTCAAAAAATTAATTTTTTAACCAACATCAGATCTGATCACAACTACCAAATATGCATTCATTTTCAGGATTTCAACCCATTAAATCGCAGATTAGAGCTCTGAAGCGCAATATAATTTCTCTCTCTAATTGCACACACACACACACACACACACACACACACACACACACACACCATACGACTCTGACATCCATACCAACACACACCATTTTAGTTATTCCAATGGCCTGCAGAACTCCATGATAGAGCAGCAACGTCCCTAGTGGACACCAGGAAAATAGCATGTATTTGTTCCATAGGCCAAACATGGCTTCTCTGGTGGAAAATAGTACCACCTACCATTTTGGAGCCAGAACCTCAATAAAAGTCTAATAAAAAATAATGTGTGATTGTATGCTGTAATGGCAGCGGGGTCAAAAACTGCAGATTTAATCAGGTTCAATAGGACATTTTTTCTTTCAGGTCATGAGTAGAACTATTTCCTGTTCACAGTCTATTATAGATGTATTTTAGTATTTGTGGTTGAAATTACAAAAGAAATACATACCCTTGGCAAAACATATGCTGTCTGTATTAACAGCCAAAATGATTGAAAAATCAGAAAAGGGCAAAAATGTCACTAAGGTTGAACAAGGGTTTATGCTCACTGGTTCAACTCCAGTGACTGTATTCTTCCTGGTGGGACAGAGGCCAAAAGCTGAGACCATGCTGGATGGATGTGAGTGAAATAAGTTTTTGTAAATACTATGTTTTACAAATGTCAAATTTCATGGCAGCTGACTGGGTGACAATGGTCCTCACAGTCAGTAATTATGAATGTGTGTGCCATGCAGTGTTGTGCCAGTTCACACTTAAAAAGAACTAGTTCAAGGTTTAGTTCATACAGATGAAAATGAACTAGTTCACATTCATAGTTCATTTTTTAAAATGTTGAGTTCACGGTTCCAAAAATGAACTCGTTCACATTCATTTATTCCGTTTTTTATAATAAATAAAGGCTGATATTCATTTTCAATAGAACCTCCTTCTACCCATCCATCACCAGCCCCAAATCATTGCCACTCCCAAACTAAATGAATTATTGTTTACCACTGACAGACATTAGTTAGATTTAAAATCTGTATATAAATATAATCCGTCTGAGTCTTTACTCGTTTGTTCATAAAACTGCTTCAAATGCTCAAACAAACTGGCTTCAGCAGTAGCAGATGCGTCTGTATCGTCTTTACCTCTGGCACCAATACACGTGTTCAATAAACGGTGTTCATGCACAACACTGGTGCCATGAGTGAAGTAATAACCACGTAGAGATGCAATTTTAGGCATCAAAATGTTTTTCCCCGCATGAACATTAAAGTAGGAATGACCCCGCACGTGATGCAATGTGATGCATCATGTTGAGACCTGTTCGATTCATGTTACTGCTGGGTGGTCGGTGGTCACAGCGGTGACATGGTGGCAGATGAAGGTGAGAGACATCAGAACCATAATTACAGAAAGATAGACTCAAAACTACATCCTACTGTGTATCTGTGCATGCATATAGAATTATGTTTTGTACCAGGTTTCCATGTCCATTCTCATGACATCCAGTGGTGCTCAGTAACACATTCAATTATACACAATGCAGTGATTCAGTGGAGTGAAAAGTGGATTATTTATTGACAAAAAACCCTTGGACATATTGTTTCCCAAAATGTATACACTTTATTGTCAAGAACAGTACAAAAAACTAAAGTGTGTATTTACAACACAGCTACAGTTGCAATCAAAATTATTCAGCCCCTTCTGCAAATTATGTTTGTTGGCAAAATGTACAAACTAGCAGCTGTTTGCAATAAACAAATCAAACGAACAATTTAAATAGCTCAACACAACTAATATTGCAAGTGGTTTCTCCAAATTCAACACAAAATGTCACTTTTAATGACTACTGCAGTTTCAAAATTATTCAACCCCTTCATGACAAGCATCTTTAGTACTTAGTAGAGCACCCTTATGCTGTAATGACCTGCTGCAAACATGATGCATAGCCAGACACCAGCTTCTGGCAGCTTTCAAAGGCAAAGGCAAAGGCCTTCAGTTCACTAATTTTCTTGGGTTTGCGTGCTGCAACCGCCTTTTTCAAATCCCACCAGAGATTTTCAATGGGGTTCAAGTCAGGTGACTGTGATGGCCCCTCTAGTATCTTCCAGGATTTCTTCTGAAACCAAGCCTTGGTGGACTTTGAGGTATGCTTGGGATCATTGTCCTGTTGGAAGGTCCAATGACGCCGAGGCTTCAGCTTCCTCACAGACGGCATGACATTTTCTCCCAGGATTTCCTGATACTTGATTGAATCCATCTTGCCCTTCACACGCTGCAGGTTTCCAGCACCAGAGGAAGCGAAGCAGCCCCAGAGCATCACTGAGCCACCGCCATACTTCACTGTAGGCAGGGTGTTCCTTTCAGCGTATGCTTCATTCATTCCTCCTCCAGACATACCGCTGATCCATAGGCCCAAAAAGTTCCAGTTTTGTTTCATCGCTCCACAGAACAGAATCCCAAAACCTCTTTGGCTTATTTATATAGTTTTGAGCAAATTGGAGCCGACTTTTCTTGTGCTTTTGGGTCAGTAATGGTGTACGTCTTGGAGTTTGGTCATGGAGCCCTTCAGCGTTTAGTATGCGCCTTACTGTGGAAAATGAAACCTCAGGAGAGGTGTGCTTGAGACCACACCTGATTTGCAAATGTATGCTCTTATGAGGAATTCTAGTCACTTCTATTTTTGAGACTGCAGTAGGAAGTTAAGTAGGATTTAGTGTTGAATTTGGATAAAATACTTGTAATATTAGTTTTATTTAACAATTTAAACTGTTCTTGTGTAATTTGTTTATTGCAAACACCTGAAAAATTTGAAATTTTGCCAATAAACCTAAAATGCAATGGGGGTTGAATAATTTTGATTGCAACTGTATGGCCTTTTTCTTACCCTCTTTGGTTTCACTGCAGACCTGATTATTTGAAAAGGAACTAAAGGCAGGCATGGCATGTAGTTAAGCAATCATCCCATAATACAACCGTTGTAATTTTGAAGATGCAGGGTGGGGAAGTGTTCTACACTGGTAACTGTAGGAGGATGGATGTGATCTCTTCATCCCAATCACAAAATCCCTGTGTTGACACAGTAATGCAATTCACTAATGCAAGTGATGAAAATCATTGCAGTCTACAAGGAGGGTTTTAGACTCATAAATCTGACTATTGGCAGCAGTCATGCTCTACTGGTGTTCTTAGGAATATGAACAGGATTTAGGTTGAAGTGAAATGTTAATGCTTCTGTTGTCGAGTTATTCAACAGCACAAGTCATGAATATGAAACTATGTTTTCAACAAGCTTAAATATTGTGAACTGAACAGTTGTAAACTATTCACTGAACTATAAATGTGAACACAATTCTTGATTCCTCCCAAACTATTTTGTCAACAGTTTGTCTTTGGTAGGTCACTGGGGTGTTGCATTGTGGGATGAACAAGAGCAGAATGATGTAAACCCAGAGAGCCGTCATCTTTATGCATCTCATCTAATCTGCCAGTCTTCAGTTTGGGTTATCCTTCACACCACTGAGCTAAAATCACATAATCATACTAATGAGAACATTACAGCAGAAAACAAGCGCAGATACCGTCTAGTCTTATTCACTCTCATGTCTCCTACCATACAGTATCTTTTCAACACTTGGTGTGTTCAACACAGGCAAACAAGAAAGAATGACCTCGTATGCTGCAGTGCAGCCAGTCAGGTACGCTATAAATACATCAAAAAACACAAAAAAAGAACATTTGGCATCAGTATATCTCTTCCAAAATGAAAACATGAAAAAGAAAATAGAAAATCTGCTCCAGGACCATGACATGGTAGAGGAACTATAGCGAAGGCAGGAGAAGACATGAAGACAACAATGTAGTGTATCAAACTAAATCAAAAGTAAACAAACTCATTTAAAATAAACTTTCAAAAGAAAAGCTATGGCAGAACATCATACTGTATCGCTTAAGTGTTGTACGTTTCTGATGACTTCTTCTCATTACATTTTGCCTCATCAGATAAAATTATTTTTATCATAAAGGAATTAAGTCCCTCTTGAGACTCAAACAGTGTAAAGAGCTGAAGAGGGAAAAATTACTAAGAATTACTAATTAGTCCGTCAGTTACAAAAACATGTCATTAGTGGCTAGATGTGTGACCTTCTGCTGATGTCCATGTTAACATGTGCACAAAGGAAATTAGTTTTTTTTGGATCACAGATACAATAAACTGCATGTATAGGTATCATTCATAGTACATTCAGTTCAAATACTATTAACTCTTTACTGTCGAGGGAATCCATTGATTAAATATTTAAACAATCCATTTTCCAGTGTTTCAAAACCAGTGAACATGAGTCAGGAGGTCAAGAGATGTTGAGGTTACTCTCTGAAAAGTTTGAGGACAGTTTCAGTCGGTTATACAGCAGTGAAGTGTGTGTCTCTCTCAGCACAGCCAAACAAAGGCTCTTCCACACACAGTGCACAAAAAAAGTAAAAATGAAAAGTAAAAATAAACATTGGCATGCGCAGCCAGGGCATACACATGAGTCTGATTTGTTATACAGGCCTTAAGAAGTGTACTAGAAATTTATTTCAAGAAATTCAAGAACCTAAAGGAAAAACTAGGTGGCAAAAAAACAACAACACAGCCTCATGGAATTTCTCAAACAAAACATAAGACGGAGCATTCACCGGGAACACAAAAAACACAATGCAGCCTCAATGTAGACCACAGACAGTGAGGCGGGACAGCAGGCTGTGGGCAGGACTTGGTGGAGAATCACTTGCTGCGTATGTGGAGCTTGATGGAGCGTGTTGGCAGCCAACTGGAGTCAGTATTTTGATGCTGCTGGACTGCTTTGGACTGCTTCCTCCCCACAGAGACAATCATATAAATAATCATGAATTAACAATCATTTCAGTCATGTAAAATTTTAACATATGATGCCCAGAAAACAGCAAGACACATATTAATTCACAGTCATCTTAAAGGCTAATTCCAGGTTATTATAACCTAGATCTTACTTTCTTAGCATTGGCCATCAGGTCATTCAAATATGACACCCACCAAAGTAAAGATCTGGGATCATGTTGATGTGATCAATAAAATCAGACTTGGCAAAAAGCTCCAGGGACCTGATATTTAAATGATGCATGTTTACACAAGCATGCACAGGGCACCAATTCCAGCACTCCAGCTGGTAGCTGGTAGTATGCTGGGCTTACATTTGAAGCAGGAAGTCAGTCCCCTTTTCTTTCTCTTCCAAATAAGTATGACTAAAATGTTTTCTTTTTGTTTGTTTAACCTGATTATCTAACCGCTCATGTCTTGTCTGACTTATTTTGAACAGTGAGTCTTTAGCAGTTCATTACCTGAGTACTAACATGAACGATGGCCAAACCTACCAACATCTTCAAAAATAAGACCAGTTGTAATAAACTTGAATTACACCTCATAAATTTCAAATTGACATGTCTAATGACTTTCAAACTAAACTACTTCAAAATTACACTTGAACTGAGATTGAACTTGATGAGGCTCTGTATTTCTTACCTCTTTCATCCAGCCTGAGCACTTTTTACACAGGATGATTATTCTCCTCTAGTTTCTTGCTCTCCTCAATTGTTCCCATCTCTTTCTCGCCGGTTTTCCAGCTTCCTTGTCTGTGGTGAAGACAGAATTGCAAAAGCCTGAGTTACCTCTGCCACAGACCTTCTCACCCTGCTCCAGATGCAGTCAGTCACTCCACTGCAGGCTGCGAACTCATCTGTTCAACAAACATTTGCCACTTTGTCCTCTGGACTCTGCTACGTGCTCTGAAAACTGATGGTTCATCCTCAGCTTATGACTTCTTTGAGGTGTGATCATTAGTTTATACAGTGTGTGCGGTCAGAGGCACTATGGCTGTAACCCTTGACCACCCTCCTGCTGGTTATTATTCTAACTCCACTCTCTGGGGTACAAACTGGTTTCTCCTGTTTGGAATGCAGCTATGAAGAGCAGAGCCACGAGGACCTGAGCAGGGACTTGAAATTGAAATCTAAAATTCAACTGTGCACACCAGTGTGCAGCTGTTGCTGTACCTTGAATTCTTCATGTACAGCCAGTAGATGAGTCCCACTGCCGCAGCAGCTATGAGGAGGCTTGCCACGACACCCACAATGAGCTTTGCCTGGTCCTCTGAATCCTTCTGGGACCCTGAAAACAGATAGCAGTACTCTGCTTCAGCTGTAGCACACACACACTCACATACACATGCACCTAAAGGAATTCACTGAAAGACTTCGCTACGAGAACAGAAACCAAAATCAGTGTGTGTCCTCGGTCCTGCTCCATGCTAAGTTTTAGCTTGGACTACACTACAGAGAGCTAAACCCACCACCTTTTAAAACTTGCTTCTGTTTCACTAGTTTACTCTTTCATCAGCTGACACTTTATCACATGACTATTTATTGCTTTGTCTTTTGTTTATAAAGTAGTTCAATGAGTTGTTCTCATTGTTATTGTAGTGACATTAAAAGTGAGTTTTGTTTATGTTCCAGGAAAGTAACAGCAGCACTCAATGAAATGTTGGATATTTTAAAGTAGATGTGTGTCATGCTCCTTTAATAGAACAGGAGAGGAGCACTGATTAGACACAACATTAAAACCAGAGACTGGCTTTAATGAGGAGACAAGAAAATGCATTAATGTCAAAATGTAATGCGAATGTTTTTGACATTCTGCTCCATGGAAGCCATCACCATCGTGTATAATTTGTATCCTCTACACTAACTTTTCACTACAGTATAAATAAAGGTTACAGTGACTTTAATGAAATGGCAGGTGATGGGAGACTGATGCACACATGATTACTCATTTAAAGTGATTTTAAAATGAACCATAATGCATCTGCATCAGCTACACTGAGTTGCTGAAGTCATGATTTGTCTCAGCCCTGGCCACTCTTCCGCTGTCCCATGCCAAACTTCACCAGATGTCATTGACGTCCCATCCCAGTCATGTGACTCTCAGACCTGTCTCCTGTTCTCTGTTACCAGACATCTCCCCTTCCCACCTACACATCTGTTTCCATTTCTCTCATTAGCTCCCCTTCATATACTCCAACCCTTTCCCCCTGGTTCTTCATGTACTCTGGACTTCTGTTGTCTTTCAAGCCATTCAAGACAACCTATCTATTACCTGTAACCTGTAACACAGCTGATATGTTGTTTTGTTATGGTGGCGTGTCCCCGTGCTGGCGCTGGGAGGCTGGGCTACACTACACAACTCATAGTGCTTCTCTCAGCCGCAGACACCAGAGCATTAACAGCAGGTAATCGGTTTTAAGGTGATTGGCAACTATGAGCAGAATTTGCTGATCTACTGATCATGTATTTTTTAATGAAAATCAGCCAATCGTGATTGGCGGCCAATCAATCAGGGCATCCCTACTTTCCTCAGTTGTTACTTCAGTAAACACTGTCAGACACATTCAACTGATCTCTATTTATTGATTTGTTTAATTTCTCTAATCTGCCCCAGACAGCTTGACTGAGCTTGTTTGAAGAAAAATCATGAAGATATAAAAGCTGGGATGAAGTTATATGTTCAGGAACAGTATTGTCTGTGTGAAGTGATGAATATGGGTCAGTTTATGCATGAAGAGAAAGTGATGAGTGTTAATTTGGTGTATAGTCAGACAACAGGTTAATGAAAATTCTAGAAAATAAAAGATAAGGGCAAAGGAAAACAAAATCTTACCTCTTTCTTCATTTTCCTCCTTAAAAACTGAAATCAAACATAATTAAATTAGAACTCATAAAAATAAAAGCCAAACAAAACATACGTAAGCTGTTTGTCAAAGAAAATCCTGCACTGATTCTGCCTCACAAGATGAAATCAAATGTTTTTCTGACTGCGTCTCACAACAAGCAAACTGTCTTGGGAAGAGGAAAGCTACAATTTACTATGCTTTTAGAACATATGCCAGACTCTTCGAATGCAGGGAAAAAAGACAAAAAGAAGGATTATCACAGGAAAGAAAGAATGAGGAGGAACAGCAGTGGTACAGCATGTATGCATGAGATGAAAGGATACTACTGTAGCATTAAGTGTTTGACGTGGCCTTTCAACATTTTTGGTTTTTTTTTGTGTTTTCCATCCCAGTTTCTATAATGTAAGCATTCGGTGTAACTGGTGTGCCTGCTTAAGTTTTACATAAGCACATTCTGCAGCAGGTTGATTCAGCAAATCCCTGCTGTTGTATATAGGTTTAAACTATTGTAGAGAATGAAAGGGCAAATATATAGTGTCTCACATAGAGGAAAAAGTAAAGTAAAGTCTCATCACATCCAAAAACATAGTGCCTGTAACAGATGAGTACTGAGAATACTGCATCATTTATCACAAACCCTCCAGCCTGCTGATAGAGACTTAAATTCTGGGGAAAACTTGGTATGGTGGGGTACAGTGTGAATTCATTCATCCTAAATAAAGGAATTAATCCTGACTTTTTGCCCCTAAATTGATTTGATTGCTTTTCTATTGATCTTTGATTGTCTTAGTAATGACAAATAATACAACAAGACTTGGTCAAAACCTTGTATCTGTCTGGACTGTGTGTGGTCAATGAGTGAAATTGAAGACATAGTTGAAAACTGTTGTGGAGCCACTGTGAACAACAACTTTCAATGTAAAGTATCTAAAGTTGCTGGAAAAGTTGCTAAATGTTGCTCTGAATGCTTCTCTCCTCCTCTCTGCTATATAAAGTATTTTAATACAGCTGAATTCAAAATAAAGTTGTTCTCATTTACATGTTTTTCTGTTTCTGTTGTCAGACATGAATTTCGCCAAGGGGATAAATAAAGTATCTATCTATCTATCTATCTATCTATCTATCTATCTATCTATCTATCTATCTATCTATCTAGCTATCTATAACAAGTATGAAACAGTGACTGAAATGTGGCCCATTAAGACTACATGTGGTCACTTTCAAGCTGCTGCTCTGCTGCTGCTATAATCCTGATTTTATAATCACGATGTTGTGTGACAAAAACACCAAACACATCAGTTAAAGACAGTTAAAGATTGTGCTGTCATTTCAGCTATATTTACTGTAATGTTAGAAGTGACAGATTGCCTTTCTTATTTAGTCTCTCACAAAGCCTGTCCTTAGATTTGTTGTTGCTTTGGTTTGTTGGTGCTTTTTTTAAATTAAAAAAAAGTCACTAAAGGGGTGTAAAAAAATTAAAACTTGTGTCTCAACGCCGCCTGATGACATAACAGAAAATGCTGGCACCAAATCATTTTTAAAGAGCCAAAGGGAAAAGTCCAACACACAAATGGTGTCACACACCCACTGTAACACTGGGAAGTCACAGTGGCAGCAACACGATCATTAAGACACCGGCAGCTTCTTTGTTTCGTACATAGCAGAAAAGCTGATGGCCAATCTACCTTGAATAAGGTGCATCCAGAGTGAAGTTTAATTTGAGTCATTGCTCTCTCTCTGTTTTCTACTAATGCTGCTGAGTCTAGTCTAAATAAAGCAAGTGAAAAGCTGCTACATTAATGCACCTCTCATTTCCCACAGTTGGGAAAATAAAGCCAGCAAACTAACTTCCTGACAAGCAGGAACTTACCAGAGGAAACATTGATGGTCTTGATGTCCTCTCCCAGCTTGTTGCTGACACTGCAGCTGACAGTCAGGTTCACATTTGGGATCACTGTGATTTTGTGGGTGGCCTTACCGTTTATGTAGGACCTCTCCTCCTGGAGGGGCAGAAAGACAGAAATAAGAGGCTTCAGAAATAATTGCAAAGGAAATATCACACAGCAGCCTCTTTAGCTGTGCACACATTATGGACTTTTCCATTCTACTGAATATTTTGTATATTGCTATTAATGGGGAACAATGGGATGCTGGGAAGACAGATACTAAAATAAAAATAATAAAATACTGCTTCTACTACTTCTTCCAACAAACCTGAATCCATTAACATGACCTGCTTAAGATGAGGCCTGGAGTACTTCAGAATATTTTCAGAAGTACATTATTTATTAGAGTGAATGGTGTTCTGCTGAATGTCACCTGTACAGTGTGGAAAGGTTAGCTCGGCTAATAAAAAAAAAAAAAAACCTCCTTCACATGCAACATTGTTTGCATTTCCATTGATGAGAGAAGGGCCTCTTCTGTCTGGTTAGTGTCCATGCTACGTGCACAGATGCTATCATGGCTCTCTCTTGTTCTATGCAAAAGCGACCAAGGGCACACTGCCTCCGTTGAAAAGATGCTAACAGTCCATTTACTTTCCTTTTCCATTCCTCCGAGCCCTTGAGAAAACTGTCACAAAATGAGCCATGATTCAACCTGTAGTGTCTCTTCACATTTTACTCTTTCATCACAGCAATGGATTCGCTGCAAAATAAAGACACAGGTTTATTGCTCATTGCGGCTGGCAAAGTAAATAAATACTTTTCAGTCCATTCGCTTTGGAATTGGCAGTTTTCATAGTCAACTTTACGACGCTTTGGCTTTGAGAGAGACATTTTGCAGCTTATTGTTGGCGTCAGCTAACGCGAATGTCTCTCTGCATTAGGGCGTGTGCAGGGCTGGAATGGGACAAAAAAATTGGCCCTGGCAATTTTGGTCTGGACCGGCCCCCTCTCAATCGGTTGAACACCACCCACTACACCACACTTTGCAGCCCGCTTAAATATGCATACTGTGCTACAGCTGTGTTTTTTTGTGCCATGGACAAGTGTACCAGTGCAAGTGTACCAGCATATTCACTTCCTGTTGAAGGACTTCCTGTTGATCAGAAAGGACCAGTGTACTCAGTCACTCTTGACTGACTCCCTGGTAATCATGTGGCTGTGGAGTACACAATATCCATATTCAAATAGAAGTACCAGGAACTGGCAAAGAAAAACTTCTGCTGGAAATATCAATCAATTCAAATGATTCAATAAAATTGAAGTATACAAGTATACAATCCTGAATTCACTATTCCATTAAAATGGAAAGAGTACATAAAAAATAAAGCAAATACAGATACTTTATAGGTACAGTAGACAAAGTAGCCCAGCGTTACTCCCTGAGTGTTCCTTTTTACTTGTATGCTACCTTCTGCTTCCACTGGCTATACTCTCCTCCTGCTCACTGTGCTTCCCTGTCACACCTGCATCTCTTCCTGCTTCTCTGTCTGCTCTCCTCCTTCCACCTGTTGCTGTACGACGGCGCTGAAAGATGCCGTAGAAGTTGAGGCTGTTGCGGCCCCTGAAGCAAACATATGTGGGATTTTGGCACACTCAGCGGCCTCTGCATTTAAATTCTTTATTTTTCGGGCTCACAACTTCTCCGCACCTTCTTTCTTCCGTTTTTGATGTTGGTGTCTGTCCATTTTTATTGTCTCCCTCCTTCATCCACAGGCATGTCGCTCTGAGCGGCTTTTCACACAGGACACAGAGAGGACAGGGAGGGAGGGGTGGTATCCAAGTATGATAGGGACAACTTGATTGGCTGGTTGAGATCGTGGCGAGATCTGATTGGTTGCTGAGAACCTGAAGTCAGCTGATTACAAGGAGGGGGGTGAGAGAGGGAGAATAGAGATAGTCTTCCTGATTGAGTTTAGCTAGGCTTAATTTGACCAACCCACCAGCCCAGGGAGTAATGTAATGTGTGTTTGCAGAAACAGGGCTTCTGTTGTCACTCACTGCTGTCAGAGTACAGAGGTATTAAACGGCTAGTCAACTAGTTAGTAATGTAGACTTTTCTTTGATAACTTTATCTTGTTATGTGATGTGTCAGCTAACATTAGTTGTTGAATATAACTAATATTAAATCATTCCAGATGCAAACTCTGACAGGATCCTCAAAGAACGTTTTAATCACACCACACTGCAGTGTTTGCTGATATTTTGCTTCATTTTGCTATTTTTGCCGGAGCTAATTTCCCTCCATCACCAGCCTAACTTGACACATCTTGCATATATACACACACACACTCACTACACACACACGCACCCTCCGACACTTACGTTTGTGCTGTTCACACTCCAGTGGAAGCTGGGCTCTGGCACTCCCTCAGCCTCGCAAGTAAGAACTTTGTGCTTGGCGCCATCAGCGCGGTGTTTGGTCAGGCGGGTGATCACAGGCTTCCCTGATGCAGACACATTGTTTTCTTATGACATAAAATTTCACACACAGATATTTCAAGTAATGGAAACTGGGTTCATAAATGTTATGAGCTTTTTCCAGAAGAACAGACTGAATCCTGACTGGAGTCCTTATTGATCTTAACGAGCTTCAGTAATTAAAGAGAGATGCACCTGACACTGCAGATACAGTACGCAAGCTGCCTCAGATGGAGTGATACTGTATTCCTAAGTCTTCGCTGAGTCAGTGTGAAGAATGGGAGGTTGTACATATTAATACAAGAGTTAGACATTTATAGTGTACCACTTGTTTTAGCCAACAGAGGAATTGACAATGAGACACACACACACACACAGACACACACACAGACACACGGACTCTCACTCACCTTCAATGACCAGTTTAAAGCTCTGACGTCGTGTGAGACCGCTCATGGAGACCTCACATAAATATAGTCCTGCATCAGTGTAGGTCAATTGGCTAAACTCTGGCTTCTTCACTGCTTTTCCATTCTGAAAACCAAACCAGATTCACACTGTCCATGTGCATTCTAAAGCAGAGTGTACCTATAACTTTGATTAAATACAACAGCAATACACAAATTCCTTTTTCATCCACTGTAATTTTCACTTGACCCTACCAAGGACATCCTGTAAATGTATGAATGCATGATGTCAGTCTAATTATCCATCTGTTTTCCATGCCCAGTTCTCCTGTCCAGGGTCACAGGAATGTTCATTTCAGAACTCAATGTGGAAATACAGCAACCATAATGTGAGGCCAAATCTCTGCATCAATGTTGTATGATACAGACTGACTGGAGAGTCACCTTATCTTACTTTGTATGTTTTATATTTAATTTACCAGATATATAAACTTTTTGCTGACAGATAAGCAAATTGAACACAGTTTCCCTTCAGGAGCACTTCTAAATCTAAATCTAAATCTACTATCCATTGTAGCAATGTATCATATTTTTTTGTAGTTTGGGCTCAGCTCTCTGTCAGACAGAAAGTGTAGAATAAATGTTGTGGCTCTACCACTGAGCTCCTGAGGTGTTGAAGGAGAAACAAATCATCAGTGTCTGACCTCTGTACAGAGTATATACAGGTTCAGAGTGAGTTTCTGCTGTCGGGTTTGATTACTGACAGGAGAAGTTGGACAAACATCCTGCTTTTGTCGACTCTTTCATATCCTTCTATATTTCAATGCCACATTTTTCCAATCAACAGCCCAGCTCCAGTACACATTACCTTTGCCCATGTCACTTTAGTGTCACCCGAGGCGCTCTTCTCCATCTCCACAGACAAGGTGTCCCCTACTGTCTTCACAACCTTCCCAGTGGGACTCAGACTCAGGTCTAGGTCTGAGAAAACAAGAAAGAAAAATGATGACTCTGTGGTGTCCTACCAGTGGGCTGAAGCTGGGCGTAGTTTCCATTCATTTTACTGCTTCTTATCAGAGCCAAAAAAGCTGCTATGATGCCATAACCATTCAACAGTGATGTCTCATGGTCCACTTTCTGACATAATTTTCTCAGCTTTTATGTCAACTTTCTGAAGAGCTACATGATTCAACTTCTCCTCATTTAAACACATCTACAAACTAGAATGAAAACAGAACACCCTTTTTCTCAAAGTTAAGGAAAGTGATTAAAATTCATGGATCCTAGCGATGGTATAACCTCCTCAGTGATCGTAACAAACCACTGATTAATAAAAAACAAACAGATGTCACCAAGTTTTGTTAGTATTTTCTAATATAATACAGCTTAATTGTCCATTAACCTTCATTAAGAACAGTCTTGTTTAAAACAAACAAGCCTCTGAGCTTCAACGTAACACCTCCTACATATGCCTGTTGAGCAGAGAGTAAAGGCTTGAGATGATGATTTGCTGCTACAGCTGGTGAGATTTGTGTTTTTCTTCTTAATAATTTAATTCTCCTCCTCTCTGCATGGTACTCCGTGCTCTGCCACCCTGCCAGGCTGGGCTCTCAAAGTTGAAAGTTGATTACTCTGCTTCGCCTTGTTATATACTGTATAAGAAGTTGAGGCACAGTGAGGACAGCAGTCGGAGGTTTTTGTCTTTGCTGCAGCAGTGGCTTCTTGCCTAACGCTCTGCATGTGTCATGAGTACTCACAGCCAACAGCGATGGTTTGGGAAGCTTGTAGGTCCCCGTTGTCAGACAGGGAGCATTTGTATTCACCCGTAGCCTCTCTGGTAATGTTAGTCAAAGTGTACGTGTCTGAATTTTCCACCAGCACTTGCTGGCCCTGATGGAGAGAGAAGAGGAGGAGGAGCATGGAGAGGAGAGAGGCATTGTCAGCATCTGTCATTCTAATATAGTATCAAGAAATGAGAAAGACACAAAGAAAGACAGGAAGAAAGAAGGATGAAGACAGGAATCATTTCTTGAAAGAAGAATGCAATGAGGAGGTCTACTTATATATATAATATATGTATATATATGCTAACAGCATTGGTCGAAACTGAAGTCACATTGTCCAAACTCAGTGAAATGGAGGTCTATTGGACCAAACTGTGAATAATTTTTCATTGCATTCACACAAAACGCATTCAATGACCACATTTTCCAAATTCCATGGACTCTTTTCTTATTCATAATCCACCACCAGCAAAACACTTTATATTTGTAGCATATTTTTCAAATGCTAACACACTGTTTTCAAAACTGTTAAAAACACATGCAAAACAGAATGATGGCAAATTTCATGCTTTCCTGCAGTAACCATACTGAAATATATAGAAAATCCTGGCTTTTCTGGACAATTTTTACAGTAAAATGTAATAGCTTTTTTTCAGTTGCTAACACACTAAAATGAGACAGAAAGCTAAATTTTTGAAACTGACATAGTGCAAAACCTCAGCTCATGTCTCCAAAACTCTAAACACATTTTCACCTTTGCACCCAAATTCCAATTCAACATGACACTTTTTGCAATACACTGCACACAGTTCCTACATAAAACACAGGAATCTGACATAAAGTCATTTGTTTGCCATTTCAAAACACTGCTATTTAAAATGCGACACCCATGGACCAGTTAGCCTGCACACATGCCACCTGGCAGTGTTGTGCTTGTGTCACACCGTGGTGAGGTTGTCTTGTCCTGGGTTTGTTTTGTCCTGTCATTTCCTGTTTTATTTTGAAAAGTAATTCCCCTCCCGTTTCAGGTCACTTGCCCTTCCTCATGTGTCTCAGTCTGATTGCCCAAAGTGTTTCCACCTGTTCCCCTATTTCCCTCCATGCGTTTAAATAGTCTGTGTTCCCCTTGTCTTGTGCCGGAGTGTCATCGTCCTGCACCAGAGCCTTTGTCCATGTCCACAGCCATAGTAGTCGCCAAAGTAAGCTGTATGTACCTCGAGAAGAGTGATTTTTTGTTTGTTAATTCTTGCCATAGTTTAGATTCATAGTCCTTTTGTTTTTCCTCTTTAAGAGTGAATTTTTGTTTATAGCCCAGTTATTTATTATTCTAGATCCTCCGCTTAGTAGCGTGAGTAGATTATTTTTTGGTTTATTTTATGTGGTCAGGTTTTTCCTCCATACGGAGCGTTTTGTGTTTATCGATTTGTTTCTTTTGATTAGAGCCTTTTTCCTCCTCCTGGAGTGTTTTTTGTTCCTCAGGATTCAGAGTTTAGTGTCTAGTCTTTTTTATAGCCATTTGTTTGTCACTCTGTCTGAGGTCTCCGGTGAATTCAATAAAAGCCTTTTGTTATTCAAAATCTCTGCATCTGAGTCCTGCTTTGAGTCTCGGCCTGACAGCTTGAATGCGTTCAATGAATTGTATTCATTGAACACGTTCATATTTGAACGCTAAACTGAACGTATCAGTTTACAAATAATGAACATGAACGTGAACGTGAATGTGAGCGCCGTTCACTCCAGCGAGAGTGAACAAAAGTTTTAGCTCACATTTTGCAACAGTTTTACGACATGCCGCACTACATCTCCATTGATGTACAGATGGTACAGACGCATCTACTACTGCTGAAGCCAGTTAGTTTGAAGCAGTTTTATGAACAGACAAGTGAAGACTCAGACGGATTATATTATATACAGATTTTAAATGTAACTCATGTCTGTGATTCTTCAGTGGTAAACAATAATTCATTTAGTTTGGGAGTGGCAATGATTTGGGGCTGGTGATGGATGGGTAGAAGGAGGTTCTATTGAAAAAGAATATCGGCCTTTATTTTTTTTTTTTTTAAACGGAGCAAATGAACGTGAACTAGTTCATTTTTGGAACTGTGAACTGCGTTCAAAATTTTAAAAAATTAACTATGAATGTGAACTAGCTCATTTTCATCTGTATGAACTGAACTTTGAACTAGTTCTTTTTAAGTGTGAACTGGCACAACACTGCCACCTGGCCAGACACCTAACTACTTAATTACTGACTCATGAATCAGGATGTAAGCACTATAAGAAGATACATTTTTACAACAACAATGGCAGCAAGAGGAAGAAGTGGAGGGAGGGTGAGAGTGAGAGGTGTAACCATAATGTAGGATGTACTGTGCATTTATATTGATTGATTGACTGACTGACTGACTGACTGACTGAGAATTGTTGTCAGTGTTATGGTTGAACAAGCTTATTTTGAGACATATGACGTGTTTTGATGGTTTGAGTGAGTTTTGGAGGTGAGATGAACTGTTTGGCCAAGATGCATGTTGCTAATGCAGACTGTATGAAGAGTTTTGAAAAAGTGGCTTCAGTATTGACCAATGCTTGTTAGCAATTGAAAATGAAGCTCTAATTATTTCAAATTAAATGTTCTCACCTAAGGTGAGATTAATTAATTAATTACTGTAATTAATTAAGACTTTTAAAACCCCAAAGCAATAACTTAAAACTCAACACTTGAAATGTGACCATCAATAACAAATGGTAGTTAGCCTTTTGTGCGTGTGTGTGTGTGTGTGTGTGTGTGTGTTTGGGTTCTTACTGACCTTGATGTGGAAGAAGAAGGAGCTGGGTGGAGGGTTGCCATCAGCGTGACACTTGAACGTCACGTTATCTCCCTCTACAATGGGCCTCTTCGACAGAATTTCAAGGTTAACCTTCTCCGATGGATCTGAGAAGTTCAGCGATCAAATCAAGGGAAGAAAGGAGTAGAAGAATAGAAAGCTAGCCTCAGTATCTTACAAATTGGAAACTCCCCAATGAACTTGCTATTGCTGAGGCTTCCCAAGATCCCTGCTTTCATTTATTGATTCCAGCCTCATCTGCTCTTCAGAGTTCATGGATGTGATCAGGAACACAATGACTGCACAGACTGTAATTCCCTGTTCCCAACCACAGCATGTTCACCATGTCACCATTACATGCACTTTCCAGAGCCTTGAAATTAGTGTGCTACCATTTTTGGAAATAAGAACAACTCTGGCTATACTAAAGGTGCCTTGGAGGACTGTCACCCATTTCAGAGCTTAAATTACCCTCTCATGACGTGTATAATCAGAGCAGTTTACACTTCACAAACTGTAAAGTCAGTATTTCACTCAGTTCATTCAATTCAATTAATTCAACTCAGCCTTTAATGACATAAATCAGAAAGAATCTTGTGGAGCATAATTCTTATCTTGAATCATAGTGTATTCTGGATGCATTTTATATTTGTATGTTGCAAACTAGTGTTGCAAGTGTAACTATATCTTAGTTACACTATGTCCTCTTCACAGCCCTCTGCATGTGATTAAGAGAAGAAGATCTACTACATACTGTTATGGACAGTGCTATGTTTGACTCACAGTAAATGGGTAAGGGTTCCAGGTCAATCTCCTGATTGGTCAGCTCATGTGTGGACATGCAGGCAAAGGTCGCACCAACGTCTTCCTTGGTGGCTGCATACTGGAGGATTGAGGAGGTGGTGGAGAGGCCTGTGGCTGGATCCAGCTTCATGCTGGGGGTGATCACAATGGCTGTAGAGTAAAGGACAGACAGACAGACAGACAGACAGACACCACACACACACACACACACACACACACACACACACACACAAGGAGACACAGTGAGAGCATTAACAGTCTGTAGTCAGTTGGTTGGTTGGTTGGTTGGTTGGTTGGTAGGAAGCCACAAATGAAAAGCCTTGAAGTCTAAGTTGCCTTTTAGGAACAGATCTGTGATTGTCTATTGTAAGGTGACGCTGACTGATCTAGTACAGGATCATACAAACTCCAAACTGTTGTACAGAGTTTGCTCCAACTGTTATTTCTTGGTACAATTCAGATGACAAGTCGGGATGAAATATCATATTACTGCATCCTTTGATAACAAGAAAACAACAATGAGTAATGCATTTGTTTTTTGTATTGTTGAAGCTGCTGTCTTGGGTAAATACACATCACTATGACAGATTTCATTTTCACTGTCCAGGGGAATCTATGACAGCATCTTGCGTGAATGTGTGCAACTGTGTGACTGCTGGATAGTTTCTGGGTGTGTCAGCAAAACAGCAGGGGATTTGTTACCTTTCCCATCAGCTACCAGGGGCTTTCCATTCTTCTTCCATGTGATCGTAACTGCGGGGTTTGCATCTGTCGCCACACATGTTCCCACCTGAGCAAAACAGAACATATTCTATTAAACTATAAAACAGAAAACAATAAACTTAAGTCTCCACACTCATTAAGTCTTTTTTTTTTATCCATGCACTGAACCTAAAATGATAATGCAATCATTTTTACCCAAGAATACATCAATACAACATTACCTCATGTTCAAGCTGCTCTAATTTCTCTGTCCTCGAGTTGTATAAATGTAATGTCTGCTCTTTAACATTAACAGGAGAATGTTGGACATATGCCAGAAAAGACAAACAAGCATTTCATTCAGGACTGAATTACTTTTTGTGCTCACAGACACACTGTCTCTCTGTCTCAGTACTCTCATTACATCTTTAAGACTGAAGGTCAGCAAATGCAGCAGAGATGTGCTGTGTGTGAACCAGATAAGGACGGAATCACAAGAACTTTCATACCACCTGGTTTCATATCCTGTACCACAGAAGAAATGTGACTCACCACAAACACAAATGTCTTATGTCAAGAAGAACAGTCGTACACACTTATTAGTAGGTATTTACTCATGTTTGTTCATGCATGTGTATATGTATGTTCTTATGCCTCCACGCCAGCAACAGCCAGAGCCGGCGGCATATATTTTATGATTCTGGATAAACAGGGATGTAACCTGAAACTAGTCTGAGTGGTGGAGGCGTACAACTACATGGTGGTAATTCTAGTTATTTATATACATGTTTTAAAGCTACAGTATGTAACTGTTACTAAGTATTATTCTTCAGTTGAATTTCTTTTGACTCGCCCTTCTAACCTTCTTACTAAATTGTGTTAGCTGAGACAGTGAACACGAGGGTGCAGGTGGAGGGCTCTGCAGAGCATAACAGAGCAGAGCATAACAAGAGATGTACAGAGACACTTCTTAACTTCCCTCCACTGACAAATCACAATGTCAGTTGGTGTGGTCGAATGTAATGGCACAATGTCTCGCTCTTGTCTCTTGCTCAGATCAACTGAATCATAACGCTTTTCCTAAATGCATTATCCACCATCACAATCAGTGTTAAAAAAAACATAATGTGGCCTACACCATCTCATCTGTATGGAGATTAGGGACCCCTGTTTTGTTTTGTTTTTAGAATTCTGACTTTTTCTTAGAATTCTGACTTAAAAACAAAAAAAAAATTCATATGTGGCCCTAATCCTCTTCTGTACATCTGCCTCTGAATACAGTTTTGTCAATTGTTTTGATGCAATTCACACATCAGAAATTACTTTCTCACAACTCTTAATGCATTTCTCAAAGCAGTTCATCATTTCCCCACACACACTAACATTTCTCATTGTATTTGTACAAACTTCCATTGTGTCGACACATAGTTCACTATCAAAGATGTTTTCTCATCGTGTTGATGCATTTTTCATCTGACAACTCATGAAAACAGTTTGTAACTTTCTTTAAATATGTATGAAAGAGCAAGGTCACAAGGTTTTGATTGTTTTAGAGGCTTTTGCACAGGTGATTTAGTGTTTTGAGAAATGCATTAACTGTTTTGAGAACTGCATTAAGAGTGGTGAGAATGATGTTACTTATGAATTGCTTCAAAGCAATTGAGAAAAACTGTAAATTAATGGACTTCTTTTTTAAACTTGCCTGGATGTAGAGCGTGTTAACGTTGAACCACTCAACATGTGCCAGGGTGAACTGTGGAAATGTAACTGTGACTTCTGTTCCCTTGAGGAAGATATTTTACAAGACTGTAATATAGTTTTACAGAATCAGGCTGTTATCTATGCAGATGTCACACGCAAGCAGCCATCCAGCAGGAATGCTTTGTAATGGACCAATAGAGTGGGTCCATTATAATAAAGTAGATAAATTGTGTTTGTCAACAAGTAAAACTCCTGCTGTGAACCACTACAGTTGTAAAATAATAATATGCTTCCTTTTCAAATTGCTTATTCATTTCGATTTACAGTCTAAAGGTCCTTGCAGTCACAACACTGGATCACTCTGTCTTTGAGAAGCAGCCTGATTTTGCTTTTCAAGAACAACACTGGCAATAAATAAAACAAAACAAAACAAAACAAAACAACAAATGCAAACTCTGCTACTCCACAGCTGAGTACAGCACAGTTCAGGTTTGCTGCATCTACATCATTCAACATGAAACTTTCCTCTACTTCAGAATTCCACTTGAGTATCAAACAACCAAGCCTTCCATCATCCTTTTTGCATGTTATCAAAACTTAATCCCTCTCTTCCAATTCCACTTTTTTCTCTCTTTTTCAATCTTATTCCCCACATCTCTACCTATCTCTCTCCCCTACTACAAAATGCTCAATGCTGTTCAATAGCACTTGAATTTTTAGGTGGGAATACCAATGGAGGCAGCAGTACTCACTTGATCCATAATAAATGTGTATGTGCCACATGTTGTGGAAGAAATGTCCATTGCTTGCTAGAGAAAGGAGGCAGATGACCGCTGCGGGTATTCAGCCCTGCTTTCCAACAGTTTTCATATTTTTTCCCAACAGATTCTCAAAGTAGAGTGAATTTGAGACACAACAGAAACAGCAAAACAAGGACAGGAATTCTTGCCAGCTGTTTAACTATGAGTCTTAATTAGTTTGAATTTGAAACGTTCGCATTTTTCTTAAAGCTCAGAGCCAAACGCTGTCACATTTTAACATCTCTTGTGGTTTTTCATGAAAAAGCTTTTTTTTTATAGTAACCACAAGTGACCTTTGTTCAGTTAAAGCTAAAAAAGTCGGTCTATAAAGACTGAAATGGTCACACAGTGATTCGCTGCTCCTAAACACAAAGATGTGTTTGCCTTAGGCTTTGTTAAACAGCTAATTGGACAACAGGCTAATTAATTTCTAAAAAAAAAACAAGCTTAATCAACTGACAAACAGCAGTTTTCTGAGTGGATAAAGATTTTATATATTTACATGAGCACTACAGATTCCATGCAGAATTCATGTGGTGTAATAGGACAGTTTCGCACCTCCTCTATACAGCACACTACAATGACTACAAAGTAAAGGCTGCAGTGACTCTTACCGTTGTTAGTTTGTCCCTCTGCAACACTTCACACTTGTCCATAATCTGAACTGACGATGGTTTCTCTGCAAACAAAGTAGGAGAGAATCAGGCTTCAGATTCAATTCAATTCAATTCAATTCAATTCAATTCAATTCAATTAAATTCAATTACTCTAAGAATTAACATTGATTAGTGATAATTAATTAATTGGCTGATACGATGTGCCCCCGGGGGCATTTTTCACTTTAACCACTGGAAACAACGCTCAGCACCAGATGCGATGAGAAGCTGCAGCTTATGTTTGTTAGCGTTAGCGTCTTCCCACCCAATTCAATTCAAATGTGCTTTATTAGCATAAAAGTTTCAAAAACAATGTTGCCAAAGCATCAAAATAGCAAAGTACACAATGACAGAAAAAAAATCTCAATGTATGAACTAATATTTCAATAGACAATCCAATAATATAAATTCTTAGCTGCAAACTTGTTGCATTGTTAATATTCAAGCTGTTGGACATTATTCCACCCTGCCCCCAGTTACCTAAGACTCTCTCTCAGGCCTGATGAGCTATTCTCTTCATGTTCTATTTCACCCTTGGGTTTGTAAGTGATTGAAGTGAATTGCGGGGAGAGAAACTCAGATTCTGAACTGTATTTCCTAAAGGGACAAATCCACAGTGGATAACAGTTTTATTGTTGATTTAATTGTAATTAAAACCAAGCTGGCTGTCACCCATTTAATTCTGAATAAGCTTTACGAATGTAATTGTTTCTGGTTGATTAGTCAGTGCTAATGGTTTTATGTTTATATAAATGACTTAATGGATATGACACCAAAATATTCACAAAATTGATGATGAGATTGATGAGTCTGCATTAGTTTGTTCATTTGAAGAAGATTAAATATTATCATTTTACAAGACTATAATATTTGTAGCCCAATATCTTTTACCTATTTTACTAAAGTGCCATCATCAACAGCTCTTTTCAGATACTGTATGTAACACAAACAGTAACATTCATCTGTCTATTTAAGTTACAATTGTTATGTAACAAAATACACAAAACATTTGTCACTTCATGTGACGCAGGGAGCAGTGTCACTGTGAAAACATGTAACAATATAAAATATAGAATAATGTATAATAATCTATAATAATGTGGTGTAAGAGGAGTATTTTCCGTTCTCCCTGATATTAAAATTTTAATTTGCACCTGAAAGCCTCGATGATTATTGTGAGGATGAGACAGGCACCTCCGTCTCTCACTATGAAAATAAGAAATCTTCTAATCAATTTCATCTTTGATAGAATTATACTGCTTTTTTTTTTAATCATGTCTGAGAGTGTACAAGCATAAAATGATGAGACATTACGTTGGACCATCGGTTTATTCCTGCTCACATGTTAATTGTTGTCATAATCTATTCTACACAGTCATTATGACTGAAAGGTAAAATCTCCTGAAGAGCGATAAGATAATTTGGCTCATTTCTAGCACTGATGTTTATTTAACTGATTTCAAAATCTTTGAGCACAGGAGATGATAAATGAGTGATACATTTATCACAGGGATCTTTTCATCTCAAAGATGATCATTTCAGATTCATGTCATGTTGAAGTGTTACTTAAATGTTAAAGGTTCGACATTATCAGATTAAATTACTTTTATACATGAACTTTAATGTAAAAGCTCATGGCACTGAACCTTCAAGTGAAAGAGAATTATCAGATCATTTATGTAACATGTTGTATGTTGACAGGGACTTTTGTTTTGTTTGTTTACATTTTTTTAAGAGAAAAAAAAACATTAGACTGTAAAAGAAAAATAGGCTACAACAGGAATAAGAATTTCCATGTAAAAATGCAGATCTTCCTACTGCCTGTCATTAAGTGGAATGATTATATATCGTGGCTGATTGATCATTTTTTGATTAATTAGATGAGAGAGACTCGGGCCTGGAGATATCTGAAGATGGTGGGATGACATATGGCAAAGCCACACTGAGAAAATGAAATGATTTGTTGAGAGTCTAATATTGAAATAAGTTCAAGGTGTAATTCAGGGACTGGGTAAATGCTGGAGGCAGTGTGGTAAATAATGGCTGCCCTTTATTTTTTCCATTTTAGCAAAGAAAGAAAAAAAATAATAAACATTTTTGGAGCAGAAGGTGATCTTCTGCTCTTTTGTCTGGACAAAATCCCAGAAAAAACACATGGCTGAGGGTGAATATCTGTTTCAAATACTCATGGCTGCGATCAACATTATAAACTATAAGTAAAGACACTGACCTTGAAGTCTGCAATATGATCATTACATATGCGGTTCTGAGATGTAACTCATCACAGATGTCACTGAAAGACCTGTTATATGTACAGGTATAATGTCGTCCATGTCAGCCACTGCTCAAAAATATCAATAAAAATAAACTGGTGAATTAGACAATGAGCTTACTGTAAACAACAACGGTTACAGGGAACTCCATGAGGTTGCTCTCTGACACCACCATGCAGGTGAAGGTCTTCTGGTCTGTAAGTGAGGCCTGGGTGATGAGCAGGCTGAACTTGTCATTGATGCTGATACGCTGGGCGTAACCGTCTGTAGCCTGAACTGTGGGCTGGTCACTACGAGCCTGTTTGATCAACAGATCGCCAGGAGTTCCATCGTCCCTTTCCTAAAGCGAGAGAACAGATGAAAAAAGAGACACAGAGGACAGAAAGGTGTGCTGATGTTGTAAATCTGTGCATCACAGTTTCTTATTCTTCAAACATAATTATAGTTGGCTTAGTTTGCAGAGATGTACAAACAGTCGAGGACACAGTGTTAAACCTGTTATCAGGCAAACCTCCACAGAACATCTTACAGTAAGATCCTAAGATCACAGCTGTAACACCATGAAAAACAAATGTTACTCAGACAATGCACACACTGTTAAATAACATTGTGTCAGTTTTTAGTGAAATGTCATGTGAATAATCTTTTTTATGCTTTGGTATTTGAAAATTGCATGTGCCCTTTTTTAATAATGAAAGATATTCTGGATGAGGAAAAATTACAGGGACAGTGGGACTTATCTTATGTACTGTATCTTATATAATCATGGTATACACAGAATGTAATAATGATTTTGTTGTCCTCTTCTGCTAATACAAACTAAATGTAAGAGGAGCATTAGAGGTAAAAGATGAGAGCAAGTCTGACCTTGCATCACTTGAACACTACCACAGTGTGAGACATTGTAAACTCATTCCTCCCCTCAAGTTCATTTACTTGAGGGGAGGAAAAAACTGTCAAATCTTTTAGATATTCACTTGACTCTGAGCATCAAAGGTGAATTTAATTTGGGGGGGCGACCCTATGTCCAATGATGACCCTATGTTCAATGTGTTATTGTGAGTATACAGTTGTGCATATTTGTTGTCTGTGACAATGGGTGACTGTAGTTATGGCAGATTTACCCACTGTGTATGTGTATCCAAAGATGGAGATATATCTTTGCATTTTTTTCTGATTTTCTCTTTTATTCCTTTTACATTTTTCCTTATATTTCAAAGAGAAAAATGTTGAAAAGTCTTTGGTCTTCCTAATTCTTCCAGGATAAATTAGTAAACAAGTTGATGTGACAACGAGTAGCCACATAAAGGGCTGTTGTGGTGAAGGAGCTAACACCCTGTTAGCGTTTTCTTGTTGCTGAATCTTGAAAATAAAATACTTTTTCATGTCTGAGCATCACAGAGGAGTTATCTTAGTTTGTTATTTTCTGCACTGTAGTTTGACGGCGTGAACGTGATATGGTTGTGGCAGTTGCTTGTCTCTAGCAAGATATTTCAGTTTTGCAGTTATTGCGATGGCTCAAGCCACGTACACCAAAGATGAGATAAATCATTTCATATGGTGCTTTCCCTCTTTCTCCATGTCAAAGAAAGTCTTGGCTTGGGAAATTGAGAAATCACTAAACTTTTCACAGACAATGATTAGTGTCAGTTTTGACTTACATATTTCCACTTGATGAACATCAGATCTTCTGGTGCCAGAGCTTCATCATTGCATGGTATAACAATGCTCTCTCCATACAAAGCAGTCACACTTTCTGTACCCCACACTGTAACACAGAAGACAACAGACTGTTACTGCCGTTAAAAATATGTTGTACTGTCACAAGACCCACTGAAGAGGGCAACAGTCTTCACTGCTTGTTTCAGTCACAGGTTTCTGACAGAGCTGTTTGGAGCCTGATTGGCTAAATCAGCACCCATGAAATGAGCATCACGTACCCTCCCTTACTTTGAGACTGCTGCTCCCAGAAAACCCAAACCCTACAGTAGAGCTATGTTACAGTCTCAGGATGTTATCAGGCATGTATAAAAGTAATTTGGTTTTCACACTTTTATGTGATGAGCAGTCTTAGATCACATGATCTGGAGCCTTTGAACAGCAGTGAGGGGAAAAAAGAGCAGAAGAGTAAAACAAAATGCATGGTTCATATCCCCAAGATCCCAGAGTTTTAGGACATCCTGAAGGAGAGTGGCGAGACTGGGCAGCTCCTTCCAAGTGTCTTACAATGACTGGGTGAGAACAAAGTGAATAAAGCTGCGCACTATGTTGTCACTCCAAATGTCACAATACCACATTTCAAGCATGCCTCTAAATAAGTTCAGTGGCAGAGGTGTGAGAGGTTGGAGTGGGCGCGTCAAGCTCGATCCTCCATATGCCCTGCAACACAATCACAAAAGCATTTCCTCTGTCCACAAAAGTGAGTGAGCTCTGGAGTAGTTGCTATGGTGGCACAGCCCAGTCATGTGCAATGTGGGAGTAGGGAGAAAAGGGGAGGAGAGAAGATGGATGCATAGAGGTCAGAGCAGAGCAGAGGGATGCTAAGGTCTCCACGGTCCAACTCTTTCCCTTTGAGCTTTTTGCTAAACAAGCTGAACAAGAAGTGGTTCAGATTCTGGTCATTCCAGAGTGGTGAGAACAGAAAAATAGCAAGTGCAGCTGCTAACGAAGTGGCTGTGAAGTGCCAAACCTCAGGCCTGGCTTTTCACACAGACTTTTGCTCATATCAACTTTTAACTACAACTAGAACAGTGCTCAGTACAACGCATCCCTCCATCAAGTTCTAAATATCGCAATGTGATGTGAGGAAAGTGATAAAAAAATTCCTGGATCTGCCCTCTTCACCATATCTGCACCAAAACTGAACTGATACTTTCCTAGCCCATCCCCCTCCCTCCACCAAGTTTGGTACAAATTTTCACACAGGTAAAAAGAGTGGAGGTAACAATTATCAGTTTCTGTTACAGGTTCATACAGTGGACAATAATGAAGCAAAGTATTTAAGAAAAAACTTCAAATGGCAAAACATAATGCCTCAATTCAAAAGCATAGATTCATTTTCTCTGGCCTCATTAACTTAGATTTTATAAACAGAGCTAATTTCCAAGTTTACCTTATCTGACATCTGACAGTGTCTGCATGAAAGTGAGTACATGACCTTCCTTATCCTAAGAAAATCAACGCTGTACTGAATTCCTCCATTGCTTGTGATATAATAAGTAAAGCCAGTTTTGACTTGTAGTTCTGTTTATTCACAGCCAGAATCGTTTGAATGTCTGAAGACATATATAAATTATTTGAACTACCAATAACACAAAGGTTCATTGATTTTTTTTTTTTTTTTTACATTTCAAGCAAATCTTGCACAGAGCTGCTTTCAAATTAAACCAGACATGTATACAATGTGCAACACTAGTTACGGTTTAGTGAAGAAGATTGTAAAAAACAAAAAGCAACATGTTTTCTCTGATGGGAATTCAGCTCAAAGACTCAGCTAAATTTATCATCTTTGAACACACAACATTTTTGAAGAACTGTGCTGTGAACTGGAGTTGTATGGTTAATTATGACAACCTACCTACAGAGGAGAAAGAACAAAGTGGGGAAAAAGAAAAAAAATAGCTTCTCTAATTTTAGGAGGTATGAGACAGTTCAGTTTGTTTTCTCCTAGTTTCTAATCACTGGATTCTGCATTTAATCAAAGCCGAAAAATTCAGACAAATCAATCAGACAAAAGAAAAGAAACTAAGGTCATGACAATTCATCAGTCTAAACCACAACCACAGGACCCGAAAGAGCCAGTTTGTTTTTGAGTTGTTGTTTTGTTGACCTAAATCAGAAGCAACTATAGAAAGTTAAGAACTGATAAAATGTATCTGACATACATGAAAAAAATCTGATGAAACTTGGAGATTATTTCATCAGATCATGAACAGTGTGGCTCAATTTCGTTTTAAAAGAAAACATGTGCACTGCCTCACACACACGAATTCAGCAATAGACCAAGTTTTAAAATTAGACCCAGTTTCTGCTACAGTGGTTATTGTTTGGGCAACAGCACAGCGGACAAACACTTTTTATACAAATAATACAAAACAAACAGCAGCCAGGCCTTTTCTGCCTAATGTGACCACACTGCCGTTCACATCTCCTCTTTAGAAAAGACTAAAACAGATTTCACTGAGCTGCAACACCACAAAAAATCTGCACCAAACCTCACTGTAGTTCTGAACATGTTTCCTATTAAATTCATCATCATATTTATTTTATTACTGTGTTTAATTCAATTCTGGATCATGGGTCGTTTTTTTAATTAGTTTTTCCCCTCAGACATCAGTGTAAATGATGCAAAGACTAAGGTGTTTGTTTGTCTACTTCATCTCTTTAGGTAAAACCCATATGTCATTCAAGACCTGTGGTCTCAGATCCACTGGGATATGCATCGTGTTTGAGTGACGTTCAGATGTTGTACAACAAAAAAAGGCTACGGTACACCGTCAGTGTCTCTGCCAATGATGAATGATCCTGCTGGAATCATTATATTAGATCTCACAGTTACTGGAGATAGTGGGCATGTGGATATAAAGAACAGGCTATTTTTGGTTTACTTTACTGCAAACCACTTTTTCCATTTTTTGCTCCTATCTTAATCTCTCCTCTCCCAGAGATCACAAGTCCATCAGCGGGGTTTGGCACTGGCTGCAAAGCTGCTTCGGATTTTTAACAGCTGCCTTTTTTTCCTGCCTCCCTTGGTAACTGCTTTCCACTAGAAAAAACAAAAACTACCTGCAATTCTCTCCACCCTGAAGGCGTGTATTTGTTTGCTGTGGCAGCTCGAACACAATTGCGCTTATCTACCAGCTGAACAATGTGTTCCAGGGTGGATGTAAAAACAGGCCTGTCTGGGGTTTCCTCATCCACCCATCAGCACTACAAAAGCACCTTAATTGACACTCCAAAGTGAATGCCTTTGACATGTTTGCATGAACTCCTCTCAAGCCTCCTCAGAGGACTCCATGTTATTAAACTGAAAAGGAGACAGGAAAAGCAAATGAAGTATAGATTTTAAATGAAAGTAAAACATTGGTTTGTTAGTATTTCATAATGAAGAGCAATGTATGTATTTTGACTAATTTCATGTTTTTGAACTTGAACTTACTGCAATTGTATGCATGTGTATAAGGTTAATAACATAATAAAAATATCTACTGAATGAACTACAACTCCACCACCTTATCCAGCAGTGGAACCGCTTATCAACATTTCCCACAATGCTTCCAGTAAAGTAAGAGCAATAGTAATGCTTGGGGGTCTGTTTTGTCAGTGACGACAGGAGACAAGTGAACAAGGCTCACAGGGGAAGATATAGCAGGGGCATAAGACTTCATTGTGCAATATTTCTTCCCAGTCAGTCAAACTATTAGCAAGTCAAACATTGTTTATATCCAGTAATATAGCCCAAAACCATGCCAGCTTGCAGCTGTCACTGTGAAATGTGATTCCTTGTGTCAAGCATAACCTCCAAATCAAACTGGAGTTCTGAGTGCACCACCTCGCTCCACCAGATCCCTCCTGAAAAATGACCCAACACCCAAGCCCAGGGAGTATGAAGGATTTCATTCTGAACATACTGAATGTCACAGGAAAGACACACTAAATCTGCACAAAATGCTACTGTGCTCATGAACTAAATTGACCAATCACATTGGGTTAGTGTTAAACACACCCTGGCTCGCTCTGCATGACCCACCAAACAACGTGTGTATGAGTGTGTGAGTGAGCCTGTTTTTGCCAGTGTATGGCAGCCTATCTGCATGAGTCATCAGAAGGGTTTCTGCCATGGCAGTGATCAAAGGCAGACTAAAAGTCAGATGGTGGGCTTGCTAAAAATAGCAGCCTGGTTGGGGGGGGGGGGGGGGGGGGGGGGGGGGGGGGGGGGTAGTAATCCTGCTGTCTGTTGACACTGGTTGTGTCAGCAGCATATGCAGGTAGGAGGAGATGTTTATACTTCTCCCACACAACATCTGTTACCAGATATGTAACACAGACTTCCTCTTGACAGGGCTCAGACCTGCTTCCCACCTACTGTTATTGTAACATGTGTCCTGAGTTATGGCACTGCTGCTGTACAGGGCAATAGCAGATAAAACACAATGCCTGGCTGCACACAGCATTGTTAAATTGTACTCCACAGATTTCTACTGATCCAAGTTTGGGGATTAATCAAAGACATTTTTTAATGGTTGAGATATTATGAGTTTTAGTCTCTAGAATGATTCTAAACTCCTAATACACTGTATCCTACACTTCCCACAATGACTCACAAGCATCTTTTCATTACACCCTGCTGGCTGGTAAATGCTGTTGTCTTTCAAACTCTCCCAGTTGGATTTTCATTTGAAAATGCACCGAAAATCTGTTTCTTATAGTAATATTGATGGGCTCCTACTATACTTGAACATAAAAATTTTTTGTCAGATTTCTGCATTTGTTTTTTGTAAACTAGCAACTACAATTACCAGCTAGGGGTTCATGTCTGTCCAGACTCAGAAATATACGTAGTGAAGACTTTGAAAGATTGATTTGTGATATAGGAATGTATAAATGAAACTGATTAGACTTGACTTTGTTCAGCTTTGCTGTTGTTGTTCTGCTGTGTCTTAACTGTATTAGTGTGTGAGTTCATTGAGGAATTGCTTGGCCAATAAAGCTGATTCTGATGTCAGACAATGCTTCAAATGTGGATGTTGCTGCAGAGATGCAACAAAT